CCTAACAGCTGATCCTCAACTGTTTAGAAGAATAATACATTCTCAAGAAAAGAATATAGAATCGTGTATTCGTCGAAACGTAGGACATTTTGAACACTTACTCTAACTGATTGAATATTTCATGTTTCTAGTCAAATATCTCTTGATTTTCTAATTATGATTCTTTGTTCCATCAATAACTTCAGCACAAGAATAATTTCATTGTTTTTGATTCTGAATAAATAGGTAATTGAACTCAATAAAATTAATTTTATGCCAGCATCATAACTACTCCATTATTTTCAAATCGAAATATTCCGAAATCGGAACATAGTATCGAGTTTCACCAAGAGTACCTTTTTGGTGTAAAATTGGATTACGTTCAAGTTCATATCATATTTGTATTGGAGAATCTAACCTCAAAAAAGTTATGTTCAAAACTACTCGGTACGAACCGAGTAACTAGCGCCCTCTATGCGAGTCAGATATAAAAACAAATTCATGCGATGTGTCAGATTTCAAGAAACATCCATACAAAATTTCATCACAATGTTCCCAGTAGTTTCGACATAATCTTGAAAAATGTGTAAAAAAATCATTTTTTCAACACCTTGTATCATGAAAACGGAGGCCGTTAAGACATTTTTTCACTGAGCAAACCCAACTTATTTTGCAGTGTTCTACCTACCCTAGCAAGGGGGTCAGGTTTGAAACACCCTGTATATCCCTCTCAGGAATGCAGATTTCGTAGTTTGTGTGTAGGTAGGTACTTAACAAATAAGGATCGCGTGCTTCACACACTAAAGTGGCATTCTTTGATTCTTTTGTCCGAACGAAGCTAGACATTTCAATTATCCTCTTACGTATAAAGTAGAAAAATTATAGACTTTCGCGTGCGACAATCGCTCTATGACGCAAACGTGACGTCAATACGAGAGAAAGAAGAAAGGCCAACCCTTGGTGAAAAGTGTAAAAAGAATCGCCCACTCAACGGATAGGTTTGACGAAGGGGATATAGCTTCGAGATTGTGTTACGGGGTGAAATGAAAAATTTATAGAGCTACACCAAACCGAAGGATTTTCACGCGAAAATTATTATAATCGAAGCAATCCATCAGAGAATCCCTATTAGTCCAGTGGCAGCAGAGGATTATCTGTGACTCATCCCCACATTTTCATTATAACTATACCGGGTGACACAATGTATCTGGCCACCCGTGGAACTTCTACATCCGTAAACGGAGGTTTTTGAAATTTGGTTCATTTGTGTAAGCAACCATTTCGGATTTGATCACAATACAATCCAATGTGGCGAACTTCCGGTTTTTCTGGAAATGCCAGCAACTTTTTTTCAAATGAAACACCCTATATATTTTCACATTTTCATGTTCAGCAGGTCAAAAAAAGTGCAATATTCATGTCAAATGTAATTTTTTCGAAAAATATAATTTGTTCGAACTGCAAGGAAAATTTACTGGATGTTGATTTTTGAATGTTTACAATTTCTTACTGCAACGAAGATACAAATGTATAATATATGCATGTGCTAGAGAGACATATATAGGTGGCTCGTTGGGGTTCCATTTAAAAAAAAATTTTTATCAAAATGTGAAGTGATTGAATTGATTCATCTATAGTGACACAAAGACAATTTTTCAGTGAACAATTTTCTCTCTGTAATGTGCGATTTATTGTGAATAGCCTTGACCACATCTCATTTATCCACGAGGTTAATAAAAAAAAACTATTTTAAATTCAATATTTTCGAAAAAATTATACTTGACATGCAGATTGCACTTATTTTGACCTGTTGATCTTGATTATGTAAAGATATATAGGGTGTTCCGTTTGAAAAAACAGAGTTGCTGGCCTTACTTCCGATCTGTTGGAGATATCTGACAAATTCTTCCGCTATTCAATAGCCTCATAAATGCACTTCGGGATGACATATCGTTTCTGAAATAAAAATATATTTTTCCGTCGACCTCGTATTAACGAGTAAGTTTAATGTTTATGAAATCATTCATTAATGACCCCTATTAATGATCAATTTGTTTTATGGGCAACCAAACATACACCACGTGCATTCATTGGTTATGCTATAACTTACGGATTCTGCATATATGGATTTCATCCCTTTCCAAGTTTCTGAAACGATTTTAATCCCTGTTCTCTAACACAAGGAATTTATTTCTGATGTTGATCATTTCGACAAATGTCAAATGTTACTAATGTCAGTAACAATGCTACTGGGTGATTCTTAGTAGTTTCCAGATGAATGATGACTTCGCGAACCAAGTTTTTCTTCATTGCAGGAGAAATGAGAAATACAGTCGACGGAAAATTGTGTAACCAACTGGTAAATATCTCGATCATTAATCGCCCTCATTAATACACTAGTTGGTTAAATAACTATTGGCATCTCCACCAATTGATTTTATATGTTCTTCGAGGAATTTATCCAGAGTATATTTGTTGATTAGGCATAAGTATACATTTTCAATAATAAATCCATTCTAATCTCGTTATTCAAATAAGTCAAGAATACGTTTGGGTGAGTTCTATCGAATTATGGAATAATTTTTTTTCGTGATACAAGCCCATTAAGGGCGGTCTTAAGGTGAATTTCTAGATGGAGTGATAGTAATTTTTTTATGCTTCTTATTTTTTCCCTTGGATGCTGGTTCTGTCAGCAGCTACACCTCAGCCTATTGGGCTTTTCTTTATATTCCAGTGTGGTTTTACAACAACCATTCCGTTGCTCTTTCCAGTCTGTCTGTTATATATACTTCGGGAATCGGGAGTTAGCCTGATGGGCTCTCGAATATTTCTTGTCGTTTGCGATTCAGTGCCTCGCGTTCTATCAATAAGTGTTTGTTGGTTTCAGTACTTCAGAGCCTCTTCACAGATTCTAATTTTTCATTGCATGCAATTGATCGCTGCAATTCATATTTCCGGCAATAATAATATTATGCAACAGGCTATTTCACACTGAATCGGAATGACCAGCTTGCAATGTGTTCTGCTTCTCATTGAGTTATGAGTTGGGTATAGAAGAAACCGTGAAAACGGCAACATTCATTATCAATACTTCATAAAACAATTCGTGAATATTCAAAACAAATTCATACACTATATTGAGAATAAATGCTAGTGTAACACGTCATGTCGATAAAACTTTTGTAAGTAGAAAGTTGAATTTACTTAGTCTCGAAAATGGAAAAGATATTGCCAATAAATAATTTTCGTTTAAATTGATAAATAATATGATAGGCCATCCAATTTAACGTGGCGCAATACTCCAGTCGAAGTCATCAATTATTCCACACCAAAGCGGCCAACACAAATTACCATTTGTACTCTCCCCATCATCGCTGCTTCAAAAGCTATAATTCAATATCAAATCTGATTGATATTGATATATTATGTAATTAATTTACCACCTTTGTAAATGAACTAAAAACATTCTTTTTCTCGATCCTTTGAATCTTTGTTAGCACCTTGCATATCTATTGTATTTCTTTGAATTTCTTTTAAATTTTGTATACCATCCTTAATTTTGAAATAGGTACCCCCTCCGAACATGTTGTATGATCGAAGGGTACCTCACTGAATTTTTAGGATAGGTAAGTAATATGATTATCATGTTATATAACTTCTTGTGATTTGATACTGTTTTTAGGCTCGTCCTGTTTGTATTCTTGGATATGAAGATAAAAAAAAGTGAATGAAAATAAAAAAAAATACCAAGTATGCGATATCGGTTTATTCCAAATTGAATAACACGCAATTTTCAATGACAATTCAATATCGAATCTGAATGATATTGATATATTCTGTAATTCATTTACCACCTTTGTAAATGAACTAAAAACATACTGTTTCTTGATCCTTTGAATCTTTGTTAGCACCTTGCATATTTATTGTATTGCTTTGAATTTCTTTTAAATTTTGTATACCATCCTTAATTTTGAAATAGGTACCCCCTTCGAACATGTTGTATGGTCGAAGGGTACCTTACTAAATTTTTAGGATAGGTATAAGTAATATAATTATCATGTTATATAACTTCTTGTGATTAGGTACTGTCCTGTTTGTATTCTCGAATATAAAGATAAAAAAAAATGACACACAATTTTCAATGACAATATACAAGGGGTGCCATTTGTATGAATAAGAAGTGGGGAATAGCTGCCAGAGAACTGTCGAATATAATAGATTTGTTTATATGTCATTATGAAGGTACCTCAATGCCATTTATCTTGTCAAATAAGCCAGATATTGTTTATATGCGATAATTTGGGACACCAGGTATACATTTAACATTATTTAAGATTTTGTTATTATACTTTCGGATGACAGAATTTTCAATGATTTTTCAGTGCTATAAGAGAGCATGTATTTCTAGATTCACAATAAGTAGTATAGGTAAATCGAACATGCCTTTGCACTTTTCTTTCTTTCATTTGATGAATTCGTCATTTATGCTAATATTAGTAAGCCTTTATATTAAAGTATAGTTTTTTTCTGTGACGGGATAAAAGTTTGGCATTTCATCTCTGTTGGTAGGTTAGAAAATGTCACTTTTCATAAATTACTTTAAAGTGAGTAGTTTTTTCCCGGATATACATCACATCACATATATATACAGTGTTGATATATTCTGTTGTGCTATAGTTCCGAAAAATGAGTCAATAATACGGTCTCCGAGAAAGAACTGAAAGTCCTTTTATCTTCCATTCGACTTCGCGGTTACGTATATATTACTGAACAACCAGTAAATTCGCAATTTTTTGAAATTGAGTCACATAATTAGACTGACAGAAGTGACATCAGATATTTGATTACTTCAAAAGAATGATAAAGATGCCTACAACGCAGGTGTCCCTACTGTTAAAATCTTGAAATCTCACGTCGATAATTTTCAAATTTCAAAATAATGTAATATCTTCTCAATATTGATTCGTCATTTCTTCTGTCACAGAAAAAAATAGAGTAATAAATAACAATTATTGTTTCAGACTGCGAATCTCTCATTAGAAAAATGTTAGTATTAGAGCCGATCAAACGGTATAGTATTCAGCAAATTAAGAAGCACCGATGGATGCAAATGGGTATGCCGCCTACACTGCCGCTCACAATATCTGTTTCGAACAGCAAGCCAAATGAACAAATTCTGCGACTGATGCAAAGCCTAGGGATCGATAGTGCTAAAACAAGAGAGGTAAGGGTCACTTTTTATCGATTAAAATAGTCATTCATACACATTTTCATATTACGGTATTTTCAAAAGTGATACATTATACATGGTATATAGTTTGTATAGTAGCATCGTGTACATAGTAGGTAGGTAGTTTACAACTTTTCGTTCAACTAATTTAATCAAACATGCATTTGAAAAAACATGTGGGGGCTGATTTCAGCTAAAAAATGTTCACGTGTCTCGCGAATTTTCAGAAAAATCATTCACCTCCCTGCTAGGGAATTCAATCCAGTTAAAGTGTCCACCCTGTATAACAATACCAAATTGACATCAGGCGAATAATATCGTTCATACAAGTCACTGTGGCGCACTATCGATTTGAAATGGTTTAAACACGTTCGAAGGTGAAATTACCAATTCAAATTAATAAATAAGAATGCTGAACGGGTTAATCTCATTTCATGGCATTTCGATCATTCCATAGATTACTAGATAGTTTTCATAAAAAATATCATGCTGCGTGTGGTGTTTATACAAAAATACCTAGGTACTTGTACCTTTTGGATTATTCAGATTCAGATAACTGTGTATACAGTACAGGGTGTTATTCAAGTTATATTCAATGGGTAATAGATACCTCTGATGATACATATGAAAAAAAAATGTATATTTCTCAAAATATTCAAGGTGACCAACTTTTTCGAAAAATCGTTTCTTTGTAAATCTAATTATGGCTACATAAGTGCCATTTGAAAATATAAAGTTGACTGACGCTGACATTACAACAGTTGGAATTAAATAAACAAAATAATGATGAGGCTAGTCTACTAATAATAACTGTGATGATGAGTCATTTCATTTGCTTTTTTGTCTCTCGAACTCGAATTCTTGATAGCGGTACTATTTGACGGTTTGGGACTTTTTTTTTACCTACCTACCTATCATCTACTTGTTCCGTAATTATTGTTTTTTTATATTATAGTCAATTCGATTAGCAAGCTACGACCATCATGCTGCGATATACTATCTACTTCTCGACAAGCTCAGAAACCAACTAGTTGGAGGCGATAATCAAACAGGTGTCCGGGAGGCACAAAGAAGAAGGCCCTCCAACGTAGCAGAACAAGCTATGAGAAAAATAGGTAGGAAAAGGAACATTTTATATATATTATATGAAAAACTTCGCTTTCTAAACTTTTTTTTTCGGAGGTGGTCAAAATCCTGTATGGACACCATTCCCTTCATGGAAGTGTGGCAATCCCTACATGTAGGTGTACCCACTATGATGACACTTAGACCTGTTAGCCCATTGTACCGTTGTACCTCGAATACCGTTATTGATTTTACCTTAAACTACCCATGGTTCTTATATAAGGGCCACTTCAATTGAGCACTGCTGTTCACAGTACCAGAAGTTCGTTTGAAAGACCATTTTCGTTCAGGTTTTCCTTCCGAGCCTTGGTCTCGTCCATGAAGAAGAGGCCAAAAGTGTTCCTTCTTCTACGAGTAATGGGAGAAGGGGTTGGTCCAGTTCTGTCATGCCCCCTGCACAGGACTAAGGCTTTTTACTGAGATGTCGCCCTGTTTCCCAGAGCTCCAGTTATCGACACCATATAACCTCGGATTTGGTTGCCAGAGCCTCGTTATCAATCCGCGGCGGTGACGTTCACAAATTGCCCTATCCTTGCACTTAGATTATGTGTTCACTAATCTGTCTCAACTGAGTGTTGAGAGTAACTAAAGGGTGAAGTGGAAACCATCCAAGACAAGTTGAAGATTCCCGTATTCACAAGTCGTGAGCCCCTGTTTTCTACTGTGGGACCCCGGCCAACTTGCAAGCCGATACAAAATAGTACATTATACATCAAGGGGCAGAAATGCAAGATTTTTTCCAAGGTGCGATTTGTAGCTCGAAGGCGAAGCCCGAGAGATACAAAGCACCGAGGGAAAAATAGCATTCTGTCCTGAGGTGTATATACTATTTTTTACGCTGGCGAAAACACAAAAATTAAGAAAGAATAAAAATTTGGTCGAAGTGTTTTGTCATAATTAGTAGTAGTAAAGTTTGTGGAACACCTATCTTGACAACATACATCTTGTTGACAACCCATGGTGACAGCAAATATCAAACTGAAATTTAAGAAAACAGCTTTGAAAATGGTTAAAGGTTATGGAACAAGAAATCGAGGAAAAATCCCAAGATGATACTGCTTCTGCAGGGATTCTCAACTTAATACCAGTAAGATCTAGAAATCTGTAGGATGCAGCTTGTACTCGCTTCAGAGAAAGGTGTTCCGAAAAGGAAGCGCAGAGCTATGCGGAAAATGTAAAGTTGGTATAAACTCCCTAGAGAGAAAATATGTCACATTATCTCCCTAGGGAATATTACAAGACTCCTGCCCCTCTTTTGTTACCAGAGAAACTAACTTCTATTCCCGCCGGCGTAAAAAGAATATTTCGAATAAGCATATCTTGAATTTTTCTAATATTTGAATATCGTGATAAGTATGATTAATTATCCATGCTTAGATAATATCACCAAACACCGAATCCAGATAATCCATAGCCACATGTTTCCGTTTTATTTGTGTTTTGAGAAAATGTAATTCGGTATCTAATAAATTGTGACAACTCAAATGGCTACATATTGATTCGCTTGTCAAATTCAGATACGTTTTTTCGCCCACCATCGCCTTCTTTTCACTTCCACTCCTTCTTACTTGAAACTACTTGATAAATTGATAGCTCGGATAGATGTTCATGCGCGAAATATCAGACAAGATAATTTGTTGGCTTTGCCTCAGTAGGTATACCTACTCTACTTGGATTTTCAAGCGATATCTCACATAAAATGTAGTTATTTTGTACAATCAAATGGATGAAATTTTAAATTCATTAATCTTATCAGTTTTTTTGGTTCCTGTTATGTGTAACACCAAGTTTATGAATATTCCGTATTCCGTCAGTGTATAAGGTTAAACTTAGGTTATCAGTTAATAATTCAAAAATGGGCTAAGAATAGCCTTGGGTAAATTAAATGAATACTATTCATTATTATTACCTATTGGGTATTTTTTTTTGTTACTTTTTGTTTGACGTCGGCCTTTTTCTGCTACTGAGGTTAATTACCGACTTTGGTGAGCACACTACCCCCAACCAGAAATTTTGCCGAATCCTCTGGTGGTCCAACCAGAGGTAGGGATCTTTAACGATTCCAACATCCATGGCCTCGGGACTGCCGGCTTAACGTCCCCTCCGAAGGACAGCATATCCGTACCATATCTTGTGCCCATTGATGTGGTAGCTGTAGCTATGATATGGTATTCCGCTATAGAATAGATGTACGGGCTTATACGCGGCGTTTCCTCGAATGGTCACCCTTTCAAGTAATAACCGGGCTCGACACTGCTTAACTTCAGATAGGTATTGAACGGCTAGTGCTTTACCTGAAAAGCTAGGGCGATAAGGCATTGGGAAATCTTGAAGAAATCTCATTCGAACTGGAAAGAAATATATAGGAATTACCAAAGTAGTTACTTGAAGCTTACTGGTCAATTTATTTTGCTATACTGTAAGCAAATGACTACTAAAAGCTCACTAAATGATACTTACATCTATGATGATACATATTGCTGCCTCTACAGAATAGTGACACATTTCAAAATTGTTCTTTTTCCAGGAAAGCATTTTTGAAATTTCAAATTTATTAAAATTGTAATATCTCCTAGGTATAATCGATTCTCTGTTTGAAATTTACAAACTTCATTGTTACAATATGGTCTTCTTAGACCAAGAACCGTGGCTAACCTGCGCTACACAGATCAGTGTAAGCCATATTTCAAACTCTCCCGAATGATGCCACTCCTATGGTTGTATATTTCCAGCTCTCTACTTGAAATTCACAAAAATCAGAATGCATTTGAGTCACATGCCGACTATCACGACTATAATACCTACAAGAAATGGCATTGAAGGTGCCAAAGTTAAAACTTATTAGGGTAACATAACAATTCATTAGATTTTTGATTCTTCAACGAACTACCAACAAATGTAAAAAACCTAAACTGTCAGCGATTCAAAGAGTTATTGAAAGAGTATCTACTTTTACACTGTTTCTACTCTGTTGCTGAATACATGAAGGCACCACTAGTTTTTTTCGATAGTCATAATCTAATATTGTGAACAAGTTATTTACTGTGTTCATCTAATGTATATTTTAATATTCGTCATGACTGTGGGTTGTACATATACCTTGTGTGTTATTATTATTATTATTTTAAATTTTATCTGTACTACTGTTTGCTTGTCACTGTAGTTGACAATATTTGTTTTACATCTATATTTATCTTCACATGACTTGCTACAAACATGAACTTAATGTATAAGTAGTCAAATAAAGGTTGACTATCTATCTATGTGGAAATGAAATTCATTTTTCTTACAGGCCGAGCAAGCACAAGCGAAGACTGCCGAAGACTCATCCACCACCCTCCAGTCGCGCCCACCGCCAGTAATAGCAAGATCTGCCACGCCCCCAGCACCTGCCACTCTCCTCCCACCCACGGCATTGACGCCGTCCGGCTATTCACGACCACCAATAGCAACGACGCCCTCAAGAGCTGCCACGCCCTCAGGACCAGCGACACACCCTCCACCCACGGAATAGACACCGCCCGGCTACCCGCGACTACGAATAGCAACGACGCTCTCAAGAGCTGCCACGCCTCCAGAACGTGCGACTCCTCCCCCACCCACAGCATAGACGCCGCCCGATTCCTCGCGGCAGCCAATAGCAGCGAAGCCCTCAGGAGCTGCCACACCCCCAGGACCAGCGACACACCCCCCGCCCACGGAATAGACGCCGCCCGGCTGCTCGCGGCCACCAATAGCGAGGACGCCCTCAAAATCCTGAACCAGGCGTCCGCGAAGGCCTTCAGCATGTGCAACGAGGCGACGAAGTTGATGTCCACCCTACAGATGTCGGCCATTGGCTGTCCGTCGCAGGATGGGGCGGGCTGGAAGGAATGCGGCGGGCATTCGGGGGCGTGGTTGTACGGGCAGGTGTGCCCGCAGCCGTTCGAGAGCGCTGGGACCAGAGGGTCGATCGGGAGGTTTTGTCCGAGGTGAGAAGAGATCGATGCAGGAACCGTGATGCCGATTATTCAATGATGGAAATTCAGTGCGATGACTAATATATATAGGTATTAACGTTGCAAGGCCGATATGTAGCAGATAACCCGTTAGGTATTTGCATATCGGCCGTGTCTCGTTCAAGACTTTTCGTAATCCGTTCGTTAACGAACGAAGGCTGTTAACATTAACTTTTCAATTGTTATCCGAATACCGTTAAATCAAAATAACACTATATGGGATTACTACAACTGCATGATCGCACCATTTGCACATATCAAATTTACTGTGAGATTGAAACTTTTTTCTGTATCTTTGTATTTGTCTTCTTCATCTGCTTTGGTAGAGCAGATCATGCAAGTACTGGAGATCACATTCTGGCATCGCTATGTTTCCGATTCAGATCTGTCTTACTCTGAGAAGATTAAAAGTCAGCTCCTTGGATGAGCCCCAGTCTTGTTAAGTAATATTGAAGTGAAGCATATGTACCTGTAGGACTTTCTTCACATTTAATTATCAGAACTTCGAAATTCTACATCATCTGCCATATTCTGAAAAAAAATCCCTATTCTTCAATCTGTAGACGTTAAGAACTGCTTAAAGTTGAAGCTTCGAATTTACTAGAAAATCCTTTATATCTCAGGAATCGGAGATCGGATAATTCATTGTTTTTTTCCATGCATTTTTTATTTATATGTCAAAATATTTGACTTGATGATACATTATAATACCAGATCTTTTAGTGCCGATATCTTCGATATGAAAGTGGTCAAATTGTATAGTATATTCTATTCTCGTTCATATCAACAATAATACTTCAATTTCTATTTTATTTATTTAACATTCTAATGTTTAGGATTGAAAATAGTGTAGGTATCCGTATCACTTTTTTACCTACCTAGTTATCAAAACTATCCATTACAAGGACCAAGTCCCATATTCTTGAATATGTTTGAGGTATATAAAATTTGAATTCGTAGGATCGAAATTGAATATTTTCAATAAGCTGTCACAGTAGTTCCATCGGTTAAATCTTTTCAATTTACATTTCCTTTTTTTATGTTCAATATAAACGTTGATGAATTTTTGCAATAACCTGATTTTGTTTATTTTAGGTTGGTAAAGAGACTGAGAGTGTGTTGAATCTATTTTCATAAATCTTAAAGCCTTCATATCTGGACAGCGAGAAGGTAATTTTTAGATACTTATTCATTTATCGTGGTAGAGGGACCTTGTACTGCTAGATACTATAGATACAACGCACGTCAATCAAAATTCAGAATATATACCTATGATCCTTGTTCGAACTTATACTTTCTACAGTCAATTAGAACTGATTCTTTCACCATTCTCAAGTTTTTATTTGTACTGCATTAGGGTATCATATGGTTATCTTATACAGGGAGTCCAGAAAGTACAGATTCTCGGCACAAAAATAGTAAAAGAAACTATATATAAACATCGCATGAGTCCAGAAATCGCTCCTTAGGGGGTTTCAGCCATCTGAAGGCGAGCTCGAGATGAAGGTTTTTTGTAAATATTTTAGAAACTCTTTGTGCTGAAATACCACACATCACCCTAACCCCATCCATAGAGTAGAGTACCATCACCTGACATCAGAATAGGCGGACAAACAAAGCATTGTATGCATTTTGATTTTATTCTTTCTGACCCATTGGCGATTTTGTTGAACTTGTAGATATTATACGAGAAAATGTGGAAGTATACGTTGTTGCAAAATGAGTATATATATCTATACTCATCGAAAAAAAAAAAAAACTGGCCAACAAAAAAGTTTGCCAAATTGTAACTTTTTTGATTCTTGTCCGATTCTGGTGGAATTACTACTACATATTAATTTGATGTTTTGGATTGTTAGCCTAAATTTTCATTCTCAAAAAGAGGTGATGGCTTCTTAACGCTTTGTGACAAAGGTGAGTCGTTAAACTTAGCATCATCATGTTTTGAATTGAAGTGGAATCCCTTCTAAACACAATGATTTTTGGTCACGCCGATATCTTCACTTTGAGGGGATATACAAGTGTTTTAAAAAAGTGTGTAATTTTTTAATCTTTTAACCTACTGCTTCATCATGTTTGGAAAAGTGTCGTCCATTTTTAATTGAATGGTTCGTGATTCACGCCAATATCTTCTTTTCAAGAAAAGATACAAGGGCGATAAGAAATTATGAAATGATTCAATCAACAATAATTTCGAACCTATAGAGCATCTTTGGGATGAACTCTAGGGGCTCAATCGCCTTCATCCAGCCTTGTCAGTGACTCTTCAAGAGCTACGATTCGCCCTTCAAGGAGAATTTGAGGCCATTTCTCCAGTCTGCTTGAGAAATTTGCTCCACTCGATGCCATAGCGGTTGAATGCTGTAATTCATGCTTCAAGTAATTGGTATCCTCTTCTTGTGGATGCACAAAAAACGAAGTGGAAATGAGTGATATCAATTTTCAGATGTTTTTTTCGAATTGCTAATCGATGAGTTCTCATGTAGGCTGCAATTTTTGCGAATTTTGCAATTTTCGCAAGTTCTGCAAATTTGAAAAATCCATACATTCCTAAAACACTTCTCCTAGAAAGAAGATATTGACGTGAATCAAGAACCATTCACAAACCAAATCCAAAACATGATGAAGCTAAATTTTATCACTAATTTTCGCCACAGGGTGTATATTGATCAACCCATCAGCATTTTCGGAAACTAAAGTGTTCAAGCTAACTTTTCCGAACATAAATCTACGATTCGGTCTAAATTTCGTAAAAATCAGACAATAATTAAAAAAATTTCATTTTTTGCCGGTCAGTGTAATATAGGTTTAGTAGGAGATATATTAGGTATATCAGAGCTGAACTTTCAAATTGACAAATAAACCAATTCGAACTCTTCATTGGTATTATTAACGAACATGTCAAAAAATAAAGTTACATATCGATGGCCTTATACTCTAATATACTGAGTAAGAACAGGGTGAATAACGTTGATTCAGGTATTCATGATCCTGAGTGGACGTACTGGGGATGTACAAATGCGCGGAATCTGGACGTCTCCAGTATGTACACCTAGTACATCTACGGTCCTAATATGGACGTAATAGTACGTACGAAACGCATTGGCCGGACGTTTTCTGTACGTTTTGGGGACGTACTGGTGCTATATGGGATGTCGTAACCCACACTGCAGGAGCACTGTTCATTCAACTTCAAAACAAGTTGATAACTACTTTTTCTGATATTCGAACAATAATCTTTCATTCCTACACATGCATATACAGGGTGTTTCATGAGAAGACTCACATAGCCAAATGGTTAATAGGGGAAATCAAGACGAGTTGATGTATATATATGAAAACATTTTTTGACCCTCCATAACGAAGATTATGTGAAATTGCCATATAACTTTGATGGTCGATATTACAGAAATGATTCGTCGTAATCTGCTGAAATTTGGCAGCGACGTACCTCTACTGAAACTATTCAAGATAACATATTATGAAAAAAATATCCAGGTCCGGACTTGGTAAAATTTCATATTTCATTGTTATGTCAAAAAAGTTCACTTTGTGAACACTTTTCTCAAAAAATTCCATCAGACTCAGAAAGATCAGACAAAATGCTATAAGAACTGCACTCCAATTTACACGGCACACTTTGACCGGTTCAACAAAAAAATATGGAACAAAAACGTTCGAATGAATTTTCAATTTCGACCTGGCTGATAACTCTCAACTTTTAACTGGATTCGTGTAAATTGATTTTTTGTACATTTTCATTGTATAGAAATTGACAGAAGAGATTAGTACTGATTCTTTTATGATTTGACATGTTAGTTTTTGACCGAACTTCTAGATAGGTATGATTACTCGTGACTCTATTTTATAAATTTATTATAAGGTGGGCCCTGTTTTTATTTTATGTAACATGACGTTTGTTGATAGGTAAACACTGGTAATCGAAATATTCTTACACTCTAGGTGCCACTTCATATTCCAAATGCTGAACAAGACGAAAATGTTTAATACCATAGAATATTCCCAGGCCCAAGAATACGTTGCAGTAAAACCTTCACGATGATGAACATTAGGAATTTTGAATAAATAGCAAATGCATATCCTTATATCACTTGCAGAAGTGTAACAATAACAAAAAATGGAGCTAAGTTTATGCGTGATGGCATAACTAATTTGATAAATCACCATAATATGGGCACATGAATCCTCATGTCGTAATTTCATCAGTTGGTACCTACCTAGTACTATCCTAGTACCTACCTATCAGTTCGGATTATCAAAAAACGTCACGTCTCGTCACACAAATGCAAAACCGGACCTACTCGATATCTCACTTCAAGCGACACCCATAAAACAAATTCAGGGATAATAATATCTATCTGGAATTTCGATAAAAAAATATCGTGTTTTTTCTTCTCGTCTATTCTTCTGTCAATTACTATTCAACAAAAATGTATGAAGAATCAATTCACATGATACCAGTTGAAAGTTGACAGTTATCAGCCTGGTCCAAATTTAAAATTCATTCGAACGATTTTGTTCCATATTATTTTATTGAACCGGACAAAGTGTGCCGTGTAAATTGAAGAGTAGTTCTCATAGAATTTCGTCTGATCTTTCTGAATCTGATGGAATTTTTCGAGAAAAGTGGTCACAAAGTGAACCTTTTTGACATTACAATAAAACATAAAATTTTCCCAAGTCCGGACCTGGATATTTTTTTTCATAATATGTCATCTTGGATAGTTTCAGTAGAGGTACGCCGCTGCCAAATTTCAGCAGATTACGACGAATCATTTTTGTAATATCGACCATCAAAGTTATATAGCAATTTCACATAATACCCTGTATCTTCGTTATGGAGGGTCAAAAAATGTTTTCATATATATACATCAACTCGGCTTGATTTCCCCTATCAACCATTCGGCTATGTGAGTCTGCTCATGAAACACCCTGTATATACAGTGTGACACACTTCTAATGGATACACCCCTGTACCTCACGTAATCGTTGGGTAAGGATCCTGAAATTTGCTGGAGCGAGAGATATGCCCAAAATGCACTCTATGACCAAGTGGGGTCATCCTCAGTGATATACACTGCTCGCCAACAGCCATGGAACCACCCCCATTTCCGGAAAATGATATTAGATGTCAAAATAGGTTGAAAATCACTTCGGATTCGGAATCAGGACGCCCAATTCACTAACTATTCATTCACTTTGAGAAACCATGGACTTCTACCAAAGATTAAAGTTTATGGTTGTCCTCCCATCAGCTGTTCAATGGCCGATAATTTTACAGCATATAACGTCGCTGACGGTGCCCTATTTGTTACAGCAGCTACCGAAGCGCCGAAATCCAAACCCAGTACTCCAGCTCCACCGACGAGGGTGTGGAAACGGACCTGGAGGACCACCAGCCCCGCCTCTCCTATGCCTCCTCCAGTTCCTCCAGTGGCGTCCTCACCACCTTCAACGCGTCGAAGAGCCTCAGCCAGAACCTCAGCTGCGACAGCAACTTCGACAGCCTGGAGTACCAGCTGTCCGAGTCCAGCGAGCTGGCCAGCAGCCTGCCGAGCTGCGCCTCGACCGAGAAGCAGCCTGAGAATCTCTTGGGTTCCGCAGCACTGGCGACGCATAATGGGGTTTGTATATATACTAGTCGAATTGTCGATACATTCCTGAAAAAACTATTTTTCTGTCTTCCGGAGATTGAAGCAGAAACTCCTTTGGAATTGTCCAAGTGTTATGCGAAAATAATTCAATATCTTCTTTTTCCAATATGAATACGTATCGATTTGTTTTCGAATTTTTTGAGCTATCAATATTATTGTCTATCAAACATGACCTGAGAAAATACAACATTTTTAGAGAGTTACTGAATGTTTCTAGCTACATATACTTATCCATTATCGTAATGGTTTTCCTTCTAAATACTGACTATATCTATTTTTTATTTCATTTATCCTCAGAACAAATAATTATGTTTTTGTTTTCATTCCACAAATTCATTTTTTATGTAATGTATTTTTTATCATTAAACTTTCCAAAAACCTTTAACCTAGTATATACAACCTTTAAGATCAGCAATATTTTTGAGTCTGAAGGTCGCCGCGTCTATCATAGCACCAGGCGGCAAAGTACCTTTTAACTGGCACTGAAATGTACAGGTTTATTCAAACTTTCCGCCCTTGGCTTGTAACACTCTGTATGGAGCAGAGAGGTATGAGGAACAAACGGTTTCATAGATGAAAACCCAAAGTCATCTCCACAACATTTATTAGAATGATCAAAGATCAATCGTAAAGGAACATGTTTCGGAATCATATATGTATAAGCCCATCATCAACCAGGCAACCAGATGACTAATGATCACGTCACTGTGACATCCCTAATTGGTGATTTTTTTTCAGAGACGTCACACACCAATTAATGACGTCAATATGACGTACTTTCTATGACTTGATAATCACGTCATCGTTTCGACGTGGAGTGAACGTCACTGAGATGGGTAAAAGAAGGCGTCAGTTTCATGACGTTGCAGGGACGTCCTGTCGACGTCCATTTTTCCCAGACCTTCTCTAAACTATGGATACTTATACATTATCATGTGAAACAGAAGTATAACTCATGAAAGCAAATCAACATGGAAGTTTCATTGGAATTATCAATATACCCGAAAAGTAGGAGAACACTTTCTTCTAAAAAACTTTGACACACTGTATATCTTGGAAACCAACAAGCCATGTATATATACAAATGATTGTTAAGGTATACCTATATTGAAACCGATACTTTTATGACGTAGCAGTGACGTATCTATGACGTCTAGAAATCACGTCGGTGTGACGTACCAATTTGGTGAGCCTCGTCATTCAGAATTTTTTTCAATAATTTGCTATTTAGATTTTTGTTGGGAAGCCAAATTCGCCAACATCCCTTCCATTGCTATCAAACTATTCTTTGTATGCTTACATCTCGCCCGACACAAACTACATAATTCTTGATACAAATATGAGTAACTGATTGCATTCTGATGGAGATGCGTACTGAAGGATAGCGCTGCTGAATAGGCGATTGAATGAACATGACACAGGAGGGACCCACCAAGCAGACTCAACAATGCATAAACAATTTATATGATGTCATCAGTGGCCAGTGGTGTTTATCACACCATGTTGAAGGAATCTTTTTTACGTATCATCGAATAATGTAATCGTCATTTTGACGTTATTATGACGTCAGTCGGACGTCACAGTTTGGTGAGTGAAAGACGTCAAAACGAAGTGAGTAATATGACGTCATTGGACTGTGACTTATTCACGTCATTATCACTTCATGCGACTTCAACTACTGACGTCACCTTGGTCATTCAAGTGACGTGAAAAGGACGTCACTGGAACGTCATCTGGTTGCCTGGGCAGCCAATAGAAAGTATATCATAATTATGGAAATGGAAAAAGTAGACACACAAATAGTATATAGCTGATAACAGTGCAAACAGGAAAATGCTCCATGATTGATGACATATAATGAATTTATAGCATAATTTTATATCATTTTACGGTGACAATCATGGAGCATATATTTCCCTGTTTGCACTGTTATTAACTATACTATTTGTATGTCTACTTTTTTCATTTCCATAACTATGATACTGAGATTGGCTAATGATCGGCATATATGAGCTCGAAACATGTTCCTTCACGATTGATCTTTGATCATTCTAATAAATGTTGTGGAGATGGCTTGGGTTTTCATCGATGGACTACACCACTCTACTTTCGAGAATCGAGTTACCATGGACTTCTTCCAAATATTCAACAAACGGTTTGTCCAAACAGGCCCATTACGGTCTGCAGCCCAGGGGCGTCGCGCACGCGCACAAGCACAATCCGCTGGTGCACATGCTGAGCTTCAAGTCGACGCGGGGCATGACGCGTTCGCCGGTGGACTTCCGCGAGGGTAGACGGGCCAGCGACGGGCTGGTAGCGCAACAGGTGGCTGATGCGACGGGCCGAGTGGTGGCGTTCGATTCGCAGAAGTTCAGCGAGAAGCGCAAAGCGAAAGGTAATGATAATGAATCAACCCGTTCCCCCGATACTAACAAGGCCTGCAGGTGCAGGCTCCGTGGTGACGTTACCTGAGTGAGGCCTAACAGCGGCTCGAAACGACTAGCCAGTGTTGCCAACAGTTAAAATTTTAAATCAACAGGTCTGTGTAGTAAAAATCACCAGATTTGAAAAATTATCACCAGTAAACATAGAATAATTATTTGATACATAACCTTCTCATATCGAACATGTAAAAAGATTCCAATTTAATTATGGCTAAATCAGCCCCTCATGACAAAGAATACAATTGTCAAATTTCAAGAAAATCGGTGGAAGGATATTCGAAATATTCATAAAAAGCCGATTTTTTCTGATAAGTTTAACACACTGTATCTTGAAAACTATGCATTTCCGGACCCACGTATATATGAAATAAATTTTATGTTTTCAGAATTCATGCAGAATCACCCCCTTGATTTTTTGCGCATAATTTCCGGACACCCTGTATAGAACGTGTTGTCATGCCACGCCGCCTAAATTGAAAGTGGTAAATGTCCCGTCATCTTCATAGTCTTTGTACCTTATATTTCTTTTTTTCCTAACATGTTAAAGAAGTTTCAAATTAATAATCCAATGTTATAGGATGACATGTCATTAATATGTTGATTAACACTTCAAATACATTTTATCAGGAATGAGTAATGTGGTATTTGAAACTCCCTACTTGATCTAGAATCTCCGAGTACTATAATATCTTTTGCCGATGACACTGTTCTTTTATACGAAGGCGAATCATGGGATGAAGTAAAAGAAGCCACAGAAAACGATCTAAAAAAAATATTTGCATGGCTATCTAAGAACAAACTAACAGTTAACGTCAAGAAAACTAAAATATTACCATTTACCTCATACGAAAAATATTCACCAAACGATAAAAATATTAAAGTTAACAATTTCGAGATCGACATAGTCAAAAATGTCCGGTACCTGGGAATCGATATAGACTCATGCCTCAAGTGGGATGTTCATGCACAAGAAATTGTTAAGAAATTAAGAAAAGTTATTTTCAAATTTCATCAACTGAAAACAGTTCTTTCAATGAGTCGTCTGAAGACGTTATACTACGCATTGGTCGAATCAATCCTGCAATACGGTATCATAGGCTGGGGAGGTCTCAGAAAATCAGTAATGAATTGGATAGAAGTAATCCAGAAGCGATTCCTGAGAATCATCTTCAGGAAATCGTTTCTTTACTCATCGGACTTGCTGTATAAAAATGGAAATATAATGGATATCAGACAATTATACTGCCGAACTGTATATTCATTTTTATATAACTCCAATTATATGACTCACATCAATCATGATTATAACACTCGTTCCAAAACCAAGGCGAACAACGCCCTACCTAGAGCCTGGAAAGCGATTGGTCAACGTTATTTTGTATTTATTGGTACTAAGTTGAGAAACATACTGCCAACAGAACTGAGAAATATCAACTCAATTACGCTTTTCAAGAAAAAAATAAAAAAATGGGTTCTATCAAAAGATAGAAGAATATTTCATGACATAGTTGATCCATAAATAAAAATGTCAAATCAAAATAATTAATTTATCTGATTCATTCATGTATATGAACAATAAGTTAGTGCAGGAATTTACTTTGATCTAGGATATTTTTGTGACATTGTATCGTTTACTCTCAATCTGTGTTAGATAATTTGTTTAGTTAGTTATAATATGTTATATTTATGTTTATATAGAATTGCAGCTTAAATCAGCTATATAGGCTTGTAACTTCAAAAATGAAGAATTACCCATAGACAAGCTCTCATGGAGCTTATTTGGGGTTTCTACTCATTCATTCACCTGTTCTGCAAAAATTGGTTAGTTGCTTAAACTCATGTTTCAAATAAAATTTTATAGATATAGGTCTTGTATTAAGTTTATTGTAATACTCATTGATTGAGGTGAAATAAAAAAAAAATAAATGAAAGTTTCTATGTTACAAGTTTCTGTACAATATACCTCAAATCAGTATTACTTCCAATTTATTTGTACGTCATAAATCCCTGACATACCTATTCCATAATAAACTAGGCGTCAATTGAAACGTTAATAGTGAAATTTGGCATCAAGTTTGACTTCTCGTAATTTCTAAAATATTGAACGAATTTTGAATTGCCGCCCAGATTCTGAATGCCTTTTTCATCGTCTTTCGAACCGTTCCTTACAGCTTCTTCTGAATTGATCAGGACCCGTGATACAGGGTGAAACAAAGTTTCGTGTATTTTGAAAAAAATTTCTCCGCCCTACCATTTTCTCGGAAGACCACAATGCTCATATTTTATTCAGGCATTTTATAAATAGCAACCATACCTCGGGAAGTTTTCGAGTTTTTGCCAAAACCTACTGTGGTTTCCGAAAAATTTTTTTTTAAATGGACTAATTTTAGAGGAATTCCATAAATGGATGCTATTATGCATTTCAGGAAAGCGTTGGAGCAGATATGTATACCAGGTTACTCAAAAACAATCAATAATTTATGACTTTGCAGTCTATGATAAAAGTTTTCTACCTTACTGAGCAGTAAATCAACACATCTCATCAACAAAAACAAACAACGATACCTTGTTTCTATAACAACGTATTGTTGAAACAATGTAGGTATGCATAGAGGTTATATCAATTGCCAATTTTCATGAAAACGTCAGTGTAATTCGGGTCCTGAAAAATTTAAAGATGCCTCGTTCAAATCGGGTCGAAATGGAAAATATCATTAGGTAAGATCACTATAGTGATATAAACTATAATTCATTCATTCAAACTCATTTAAGTACCATTTTCAATAAGTCAGTCATGACAATAAATAGACTGATTCATCGTTTTGAGGATACAGGTAATCAGTCCATTAAAAAAAAAATGCAAAAAAAATGTTTTTCGGAAACCACAGTAGTTTTTGCCAAAAACTCGAAAACGTCCCGAGGTATGGTTGTTATTTATGAAATGCCTGAATAAAATTTGAGCATCGTGGTCTTTCGACAAAATGGGGGGGCGGAGAATCTTTTTCCAAATGCACGAAACTTTGTTTCACCCTGTATCACGGGTCCTGATCAATTCAGAAGAAGCTGTAAGGAACTGTTCGAAAGACGATGAAAAAGGCATTCAGAATCTGGGCGGCAATTCAAAACTCGTTCAATATTTTAGAAATTACGAGAAGTCAAACTTGATGCCAAATTTCACTATTAACGTTTCAATTGACGCCCAGTTTATGTTTTATTAGATTTGGAAAAGCCTAATAATTTACATATCACAAATGGCATTACTTAGGGCAAAAATATATTCTTAGCGCCCTTTTGAAATTATTGACGACGCTGCAATATCATGCAACATTCACATTTCACAACATCTCACAGTTTTCTTGCAATAAATAAAGTACCTATCTGATTATTTTCAGGTGTATTGGATATGCACTTGGCGAGGGATTCACAAAGGCTGCAGACTCAATATCCAATAAGAGATGGTCTAGAAGAAGTGAACCAGCGGCAGGGACAGCACGGTCAGTACTTGCAGCCTAGGCCGAACAAAAGGATCAGTTTACCTGATAATTTCAATTATACAAGTCCTGCTGTGGAGAGTGTTCAGTTGCAGACTGCAATGCAGCATAGGTGAGTGATGTTTGATATAAAGTTTAATCGATTCAGAATGTAATACTCTGGTATCTCTATGGAATTTCAATAACTTCCATGATAGTAAATCACCTTTCGCAGGGTATTACATGATGATGTAGTCATGTTCTCGCCATCTAGTGGATTAGTTTTAAGGTATAGGACCATGAAATCGAGATATAATAGAGAAAAGAATTGAGATCTAGATCAATAAAAAACCTTTATTTGAACGAAAGTTTACATAAACTACAAGTTCTAAAATTGATTAACTGTAACCCATTTTAAAACATTAAAACCTGAATATGACGAACAATTTATATCCTATGGAACACTTGTTTTAGTGATCATGAATCAAAAGAAGATAAAACATTTTTCTCCTAAAAGAGTCGGATGTTTAGGCGAAAATTTCTGGCATTCCTACCCATCAAACATATGAAATTATCAAAATAGCTTTGTCGCTCTGAAAACGAGTTTTGATATAGAGTTATTCGATATTTCTCGAGATTGTCAACAAAAGCAAGTGCTGACTGAAATTTTCGAGTTTGTCTGAACGGTATTGCCAACGATGGAATGATTTTCGAAAAAAAATCCCTGAAAGCATCAGTCTATGTTTGGGTGCTGAACAGTATTCTAAAACAGGCTCTATCTGTGCTTCGTGAACCATAAGAAGTTGTTGAGTTGGGGTGTAAAGTTGCTTTTTGCAGGGAGTAAAGTAAAAACCGAGTTTCGGTAATGCAGCCTTTGAGATTAATCTGACTGTGACAAGATTTTTCCGTCTTCAAAATGTTGTTAAAAAATATGCATTAAAATTAATCATATTAATCTGCATACAATAATGTAGCCAAATTACGCAATCTTCCAATATGACGACGGAGATTATTCAATATTGTGAATTAAAAAAGTACAGTATCATTGAGAATATATGTTTCGAAAATTATAACGTAAGTTTAGATCAAATTAAATTCCATGTAGGGTATCAGGGACAATTCCAAAATGAAGATATATTAACGTCTTCAAAATTTAGTTAAAAAATGCCTAATACGGTTTCTGAATTTTTACCGATATTTTTGTGATCGTAGTAGTCCGAGAAATTTTGTTTGATGAAAGTTGTTTATTTGAAGAGATTCTTGAGTAGTATAACTTGAAAAAATAAATTGTGAATCACTCAAGATATAGGGAATAAGTGGAGCAAATTGAAACACACACATAAGTGATATCTTCAGAAAAATTACTTTCAAATGTACAAAATTAATCTTAACGACTCTTGAGTTATGTTGGTATATTTTGTTTGAGCCCATGTACTATTCATCTTTTAGGCACTGTTGGTCTACTCAAGGGTCCACCTCATAAGCATTTCATGACCCGATTCAAGTGTTTTGGGTTCATTCAATTAGTAAGAACTTGGGCAGTATTAGTTAAGATTTCCAAACATTTTTGATATTGATTATGATGGAATCGCAAAGGCTATTTTTACCGTAGTAGAGATACAGGATATTGAAGAATTGAAAAAATATATCTATATTATTCATCTCTAAGAAATATTTTTTCGATTTTCTTGATATTGGTAAGTTTTATTGAAATAACAAAATGATTAGAATTTGTTTTATCTATCTGAAGGCGTCATCAGTAGCGGATGAGTACCAGAATCAGGGAATGTGTCGCGCCACTATTTTTCTGAGTTGAATGTCTCTTTCAGATTGAGCAATGGAAGATTCAACTCTTTTGGCCCTAGAATTATTTGCTCAACTCACTTTGAAAGAAAATTGTTATCTTCACCTAGGAATAAACAAGTTGCATGAAAATTTCTAGAGAATTGCACAATTTAAAACAAGTATTTTACTTTTCAAGAAACAGTGTCAAGATATCTTTTTCATATGAATATCAGCCACTGATCTGAATAAATGAAATCCATTCAACTAGATCAGAAGTAAAAGTTGTTATTGCAAACGAACCTACCAAGTTTGATCGATATCAGGTCTAGGAAGTGATAAAAACAAGATTTTTTAAACTTGCTGCATCGTGTATCTCGAAAAACTATGGCACTTTTCTTGCGAGAAATATATGCTTGAAATCTGTCATAATGTTATGTAACACCGTGCAGATTTTGTTGTAAATAAAATCAGCCGATGACGTGCATTGAATCCTCCAAGAATGCACTCTATGAATCATATTATACAATTTCTTCTTTTAATTCGACAAAACAGTTTCAATGACGATATTTAATGTTTTAACTACCAACATTTCCAGAGGAATGAATATCCAGAATCCTAAACTCTGACAATATTCAATTTCTTCTGATACCTACCTCATGTCTATGAACTTTCATGTCACAAGGTCCCATACTTCCATATTTTTAAATAAATGATATTGAACCAAATTATGAATTTTCACTACTCATCATACCTGCTTCTTCACACCATACCACGAATAATTTTGATTTTTTAGTAGTCCGTGGGCATAAACAGATATTTCGGTGTAATCATCACACGAGTCGTAACGATTTATTTGGGTAGCAGTGTACATACTTAATCCTCTTGCTGCATGTTAGAAGACATGTTCAATTTCTATATCTGGCATGAATGATTGACATGAAATCATATCGAAACTTTTTTGAAAGGCAAATCTTGTTTTTTCAGGCTACTGCAACAAAAACGCCATATCCTTCAAAAACAATGCGCAATGTCACACCAACCCACCCAGATAGCGACCACAGACTCCAATCATTCCCTTTCGAGACGGCAAATGCTCAGACAAGCCAGCTACAAGATAGCCCAGCAACAGCCCGTCATGCCCCCGTTGCCTCTTTCCGAAAAGGAGAGCAAGGATCTCATGGCATTCCAAGCGATGGTGGAAAACGCGGGGGAACAGTGGAACTCGCTGTCGAGAACCAACTGTCAAATGTCAGAACCAGTGTCGCTGCCAGCGCAGTCTTGGCAAGCCACCGGTGCAGCGTGGAATCAGGTACCACAGCGTTTGTAGTGGCTGCTTTATGTTTATTCTGAGTGGTCAGTTTGATAGGCATTCTGCTTTTCATGAAGATTGTATGTGAATTGTAGAGGGTTATAGTGGATTAGAGGTGAGACGCAAATTATTGCTGACTTGAAGACGTTAAAACAGATTGGAACCCTCAACTACTAACCTACCAAAACTGTAAGGTTATCACTAACTAGAGTCACTGGATGGTCTTAGTTAAATAAGAGTTCGGACACAGAAATGACAACTGTTAGTGTTTTTGAATGTTCAGATTTATTGAGTTACACAACTTGCATTGTGACAAGAACACCATAGTGGTTTCGCGCTTTTCTATTCAAGATTGTTTGAATTTGACAATACATTTCAAGAACGTCAGAATTGAAATATAATTTCATAAACTATTGAGAAAAAAGTATAGATGAAATTGTCCTCCTGTGTAATGAATTGTGGGAATTCTGAAGAGAATATGGATTTCATTTATTCAATTTTCCAAAGGAAATATCATACTCTTGTAGAAGGATTGAGCGAAACGGCCTGGATGGATTCATTTCTTATGAAAGCAGATTAGAATGAAACAATATTTTAGGCCCATTTTCAAACAGAAGATTTTAAGATCCGTTTGAGAGAATCTGCTGTTGCATCCATTTATAAAACAGACTAGTTCGAGTACAACATTACATACAATAATAAGGAACTAGCTATAAGTATATCCTTATGTGTCTATTTTGTCATATTTAAATGTTACATTTTTATTTTTATAATTGTTCTGCGAAAAGTTTATCACTATAAATTATTGAAGTGGGCGTTTATACCCTATTTCCATTTTCCATCTACGGCTATTATTGAAGTGACAGAAAATCTAACCTCTAAAATCGTATCTGACAATCATGCGCTACTAGGAGAATTTAAAAGACAAAGAGCAAAATATATGTCATTCTTTTATTCACTCAAACCATTGTAATATAGAAAATAGAAAAGAACATATAAACAGCTAAATTGGACTAACACTCAGAAAAACCCGAAAACAAGTATATTGAATAGCAAAAATAGGTATTACAGTTTATCACCGACTGAACGCGTTGAGCATACTGACTCACCTCTTATCATCCCAAATTCCATACCAGCTCATTCGCTCCAGCCGTTATTCCTTACATAACCCATAGTGAATCAACACCCAACGAACATGAAATACAGGGTCGTTCCTTCGGATCGCTTATAGACAGAAGTTCAGTTGTGTCCGAACTCGTATCTAACTAATACCATCTAGTGACTCTATCACTAACTATAGGTCTCACAAACGGATATATGCTGGGTGTCCCAAAATTAACCTACCAAACTTCACCATCGGCTTCTACGACGAAAAAATATGAAGAAAAGTCTCAATGAACATGAGTCGAAAAATGTCTCCTAAGGAATCTGAAGATGATATTTCTTGAATATTCCCGAAACGCTATGCGATAAAATGATGCAACTTGGTACAAGAACGAAAAACTTTCCATGGCCAATGTTGTGAAAATATAATCATTTCAAAATTTCATTCAGAAGTGTATAATACAGGTTGGGACTACATTAAATATTGCTCAATTTTTTTTTCGTATGATTTTTTTTTTCGACATTCTAACCTCGGATTATGAAAATCCACACCTATCCACAGAAAAATAGGTACTCTTGATCCGTATCGATCAGATGTTTAAATTTCGAGTAAAATAAGTTTAAAAATATTGTTACATCTCAGATATTATGACTACCATTGCAATAAAACGTAGTGGATATAAAAACAATTAAGTAGTTCTCAAACATCATTTGCCTATTTTACGCGTCTCTAAGAAATTGTTTGGTGGAAAGAAAGTAGTTGATTTTTGTTATAGTCACTATGATGGAAATTGGCAACGTTGTACATAAGATGAGAGTGTAACAATATCTTTAAATCGATTTCACTCGAAAATGATACAACTGAACTGAACAAGAGCACTTTTTTTCTGTAATACGGTGTGGATTTTCATAATCCGCGATCAAATTGTCGAGAAATAGGCATACAAAAAACATTTAATGTAGTCCCACCCTGTATTATACGCTCCTGAATGACATTTTGGAATGATCTTATTTCAACTGCATTGGGCATGGAAAGTTTAGTTCTCGTACCAAATTGCATCATATTATCACATGGCCTTTCGGAAATATTCAAAAAATGTCATATTCAGGTACCCCCTTTGAGGGGGCCGTAGCTCCCTTAGGAGACATTTCTCGACTCATGTTCATTGAAACTTTTCTTCCAAGTTTTGATCGTAGAAGCCACTGGTGAAGTTTGGCAGGCTAATTTCGGGACAACCTGTATACATTTATGCATATTATTTCTAATTTTCGTAGTTTTTTTCATGAACTATTCAAATATGTTCTCCGAACTGGGAATGTAGTTCAGAAATGGAATGAAAATATAAATTTAATTGGACATTGCAATTCCTTGGAGGAATGTGGAATATTCAGCATTTTGACATGATCCATTGAACAACTACTGAAAATAAATCAAAATAATGAAATTGTTAATAAGTTTTTATACAATAAGTGTTAAACTACAACTGAGTCGAGAATATAAGACCAAAAACAAAATAAAATAAAATGAGTCTAGGCGAGATACTTCGAAATCTGAACCACTCACGTTAATCAACTCCAGGCTACTGAATGAGTGCTGTGTGGTGATTAATTATTACCTAGAAGGACACTGGCCGACATTGAAAGGGAGGGGTCATCAGACTAATCGGTTGATGCACTGCCGTCTATAAGACGTAGTTAAGGGTTAAAACTGATTTGAATATGAATAAAAGGAACCATCCATACGGTTTCGGAAACAAAAAAATTGTTCCTTCGCCCATGTTTGTGTTTCAAGAATTCACCATTTTTCAATATTGGAACATGCCGTCATTATTATGCCTCATGGATATATTATACCACATGAAACATGAAATAATTTGCTATATTATACAGGGTGACAGAAAGAAATACATTGCATAGTGCCACAAAATAGAGGACAGAAAAATAAGAAAAAAAGTTCCTATGAACACGGGTCCACAAGGCCTTCGGTTAAAAAATACAGGGTGTTGAATTTGATTTTTTTCTCATTTATTTGCGAAAACAATGGTGAATACTTCAACAATTATATTCTAATACCTCTGACAATTATAACATGAGTTTGACAAGTGTCATTATGACTCATTATTCAATTGTTATTTATTATTGTCATTGCAGAAGTGACTTAGCGCTTTTTGAATAATTTGCGTGCATTGTCGGTTTTTAGATGCATTTGTACTGGAACCATTGCTTCTAGCGATTTGGACAACCAATACCTTTCTTGAGTATAAAGAAAGGGATAAAAAATTTTTTCAGTCCAAAATGACATACAGTGAATAGCAAAATAGTTACGACCGATTCAATAGGGATGGAACCCTGTATGTAGCGCCCTCTATCAATAATCACAAAACTAAGATGATAATTGAATTTAGCATGATACAAAACCCCTGTATACAACATTTTATCCATTTCTTGCGTCTCTGGGCTGGAAGTATTCAAAAAAATCAAGGAAGAAAAATTAATTCAACACCGAAGGCCTTGCGGACCCTGGTTCATAGGAACTTTTATTCTTATCTTAGTGTCCTCTATTGTGTGGCACTATTTAATGTACTTTTTTCTATGTCACCCTGTATAAGCCAGGTAATCAGTTTCTCATAATAATTATTACAATTGAAATTAGGTCCGATCAAGAGTGCCTCAAACATCTCATTACACGCCCTCTGAAGAGTGTGGACACTATTGTCACCACTGACATTACCGAATTATCATCATTCTCAGATTTTTTCATGGCTTTGTGGACATGGTCCCATCAGCCAACATTCTCAGATTTAAAATGTCAGTTCTGAGAATTGGATAGGCATCCTCGCCAATGATGGTTACCATTTATTTGAGTTGCCCAAAGACGAGCGTTTGTTAAAGCTTCAAATTCCAATATCCATTTCATAGAAATACATTCAATATTATAACTATAAAATGACCATTATGTGTCTTTGGTGTTACGCCACTGTTAGGGTATCGAATAATAATATGTCTGCAATCATTTAATGAAGGGGTACATTCCATCTCTTATAAAACATATTAGTGTCTCATGAATTTTGTTCAGCTTTTTAATAACATGACAAGTGGGTCCACACTCTTTTAAGGGCGTGAAATGAGATGTTAGAGGAACTCTAGTCCAAAATCATGCTTGAAAATGAATAGTTTATTATTGAAAAGTGCCTATCATAAAAATCAAAGAAACATCAAAGTAGCCGTTTGAATGAAAAAATCCTCTTGACAGAGGATATAATTTTGAGGAGGAATTTTTGATATTTCTTTGAAAATCTAGTAAGTATGAAACTAAAATTTCCTCTGACGACTCCTTAAACTTTTAATTATGACGAAGATTTTACATCAACTTTTTATAGAATGATATACCTACCTACGTTCACCCATTGACCTATCTGTTATGTATATTTGATTTTCATCGATTCAATCAAAATGTCAAAAATGATGAAATACATTGATATGGCACATTATTTTTGAAGTATTATGAAACCAGTCCACTTTTGATGTTTAGCATTGAGTTCTTTATTTATTATGTCATAGTACCTACTATAATATTGCAGCTAATAGACTTTGTATAGTTCCTATCATTTAATAAACATTTTATTATAATTTTTGGCTTTGACTTATTCCTGTGTGCTGTGTTGCATGATGTGAGCATGTTATTTTTGTATGGTATTTAGACAAATTTTACCAAAAATTCGAATATTTACTCTCAGGTAGGACTTCTTTTTGGTCCATATTTTTTCAGTTGAATTCAGCATTGGGCAGTATATGAGCCCAATAGATGAAGTTTCTGAATTGTTGTAGTTACTGAATCACGGTTATTGATACTTTCTGGTTTTCAAGTGTTGCTTCTTGAATTACAATAGACGCGTTCTGAATTAGAATTGACTAATCTGAAATTCAAGTCGAACTTTCTAAATAATAAATTCACTAGTCTGAATAACAATCAACTATTCACTATTCTGAATTACAACTTTTCCTTTCTCTGATACCGTCTAAATTAATCTTGTGGATCTCTAGTACAAATGGAGAGAACTTCAATATACCCATAGATAAACCTAATGAGTTTCGTATCAGTGAAAACAATAATGATATAATTTCTGGTGTTGAGTTGGCGGGAATTCGGTCGGAATGTTGAAGAAAACCAATTTTTAACTTGTCGACGTTTCGAAACTTTATTGTTTCATCTTCAGGACACTGAAGTAAAGACAAGAACATACATATTAAAATGATATTTTAAAATGAGTGGTTTCGATAAAAGCAAAATAAGTTATGTGAAATGACAATCATTAAAAATAAAACACTTCTCACACTTAACAGAAAACAACATTGATAGGTACTTACATTTAGGGTGGCTTTCCGGGTTTAAAAATAGTGGAATAAATAAAATCGACATAAAGTATTAATACTTACACACAGGATCATGAAAGACCTCAACACATACACGAACATGAAGAAATGGACAAACTAAACTGTCGTTGAATCGTTTCTTTATATCGCAAAAAATAATAAATGTCGGAGTCAATGTAATTTTCCTATCTTTTTTTCAAAAGATATGTCGATGATATAATTGTATGCATACAAAATGCAAACGTAGACAGAATATTAACAATATTCAACAATCATCATCCCAGACTCCTGTTTACTGTAGAAATCGAAATAAATGATAGGATTGCTTTTCTGGATGTTTTACTGCGATATTTGCGATATAAAGAAACGATTCAACGACAGTTCAGTTTGTTCATTCCTTCATGTTCGTGTCTGTGTTAAGGTCTTTCATGATCCTGTGTGTACGTATTTATACTTTATGTCGATTTTATTTATTTCACTATTTTTAAACCCGGAAAGCCACCCTAAATGTAAGTACCTATCAATGTTGTTTTCTGTAAAGTGTGAGAAGTGTTTTATTTTCAACGATTGTTATTTTACATAACTTATTCTGCTTTTATCAAAACCCCACATTTCAAAATATCATTTTGATATGTATGTTCTTGTTTTTACTTCAGTGTCCTGAAGATGAAACAATAAAGTTTCGAAACGTCGACAATTTAAAAGTTGGTTTTCTTCAACATTTCGACCGAATTCCCGCCAACTCAACACCAGAAATCATATTCAACGGTCGCCATTCTATTCAAATAATGATATATTCTGTATTTTTAAGGGTCCTCAATTTCCTGTTAACATCACAACGAATGTTTGGCCACCTTTACTACCACTCAGGGAGAGTCCTATTCTTGAACTAACCGAGCAAATGGAATCCATGTGAAGTTAATTATTTACTAACTTTACTTTAATTTGAAGTATGTAATGATTGAAGAAACCTTTTAAAATTCAAGGAATTTACTATGGAGTCACATCAACAAAATTTGTAGCAGCGATTTTTTTTTTCTATCTAATGCATGGTCAGACACTTCAAAATAACAAATTTTGAAAATGACTATAATGTCCAAGAGGCGGCTGCAAATTTCGACCTTCACCTAATAACGAAATGATATACAGAGAAGTGCACAAAAAAACGGCCAGGATTGCAACTTTTGGATTCTAGATAGGGTTTTGAAAATTGGTGGGTAGCAAGTATACCAAATTGATCATTAATTGATGAAACAATATTTCTTCTGTCACTTCCAGTTTCACCGGAAACGACCCCGACTTTTGATTTTTAAATGGGACACCCTGTATTGTATTCCCTAATCGGTTAGGGATTATCAAGACGAATTCAACGATACCGAGTTTGATAGGGTTATTTCAAACAATTACAAGATATTTGCGTTCGATGTTTCCATATGCTCAATGGGTGTGACTGAGCAATATCAAAACTTCTTTCTCTGTCACACTCATTGACCATAACCCTATCAAACCCGGTATTGATGAATTCGTTATGACAATCCCTAACCGAGTATGGAACACAATACAGGGTGTCCCATTTAAAAATGAAAAGTTGGGGTCGTTTCCAGTAAAACCGGAGGTTTCGGCATCGATTTTCAAAACCCCATCTCGAATCATTCAAAAGTTACAGGCCTGCCCGTTTTTTGTGCACTTCCCTTTGCAGTTAATCAAACGGCACCTGTGCCATTCACTATCCTGAGTAAAGTGATTGAAAAGTTGCACTTTCCTGTGCTGAAATTTGCACTTGTTTGCACGATTTGATAACGAGACAAGAATTATGCCTTCCGAAACCAATTGAATGGTAGATTTCAAAAACCTACATTGGGCCACCCCTCAGTATGAACCAAATACACGGCACTGCGCTTACTATGCTGCTATTTTTCCAGACATACTTCAGTCATGTGATAACGAGTTGAAACAAGAAGAAAATAAAACGGGATGATGTCGCCTTTGCCAATATCTATAAACGTGCCGCGATTCAAATATAAGTTAGTGGCAGAGTGTTCGTGCTTTCCAGCATATTTCGCCTCCCTCTAAAGATAATATCTGATGAACAAGTGGAAAACTCAACATGTGGAATAGAATACTTGCAGTGTGAGCACCACATGAGTTTCACACTAGTCCATCGGATACTATCTTTCGACGAGGGCGAAATAGAGATAGAAATTCTTTATTTCTTAACATGACATACATGTGTTGAAAGTATATGTGAGTGATAAAATGTTACAAAAATTATGATTGAAATTGCTCATCTTGTAGGTATTCATCAACTGCATAGTAAGCTTTACCAATGAGAAGTTCTTTAATTTTATGTTTGAACGCTCTAATGGTGAATGATTTGAAGACATTCGGTAGTTTGTTGTACAGTGAAGCTGCCATATAGAAACAATGCTTCTTCAAGGGTTGTACGATGACGTGGAAGGATTATGAGGTAATTTTTTTGCCTGGTTTCCGCATTACTGAATTTGAATTGATTTTTATTTTTATGTACATATAAAAGTTGTTGAAAAATATATATACAAGGAACCGTTAGTATTCTCAGTCGTATGAAATTATTTTTACATGTATCATATCCACTAATTTTGCACATTATCCTGATTGCTCTCTTTTGAATTCGGAAAGTAGATATCCAGTCGGTTGAATATCCCCAGCAAAATGTACCATAGGAAATTTTAGAGTGGAAAGAAGCATAGTATAACATTTTCAGAATAGGGAGACCCATGCCTTTGTTCATCATTGCTCTCAGAGAATAGCAGCTCGTGTTGATTTTCCTATTCAAGCGATTTTATGTCTTCTGTATATTTAACGATGAACTTTGCTGTATCAATATGTAACTGTTGTCTTGGACTGAAAAAAATACAAACAGTTTTTTCCAAATTGATGTTAATTTTGTTGTAGGTGCACCAGTTATTTATATCAGTTAAACATTGATCAACACAGTAAGGTAATAAACTTTTTTCCTACTCTGACCGAACAAGGCACAATGTATCGTCAGCGAATAATATTGTAGAACTATTATTTACGCACGATGGAAGATCATTAATGTATAGCAAAAACGGCAATGGTCCAAGGATATACCCTTGTGGCACACCATTGCTGACTTTGGCCCATGCGGATGTTGATGGTTCATTGAGATTGTCAAAATTTGTTATGATAGTTCTTTGCTGTCTATCTTGCAAGTATGTATTGAACCACTGAAGCGAAATACCTCGAACTCCATAAAACTCCAGTTTCAAAAGCAAAATCTCAAAATTTACGCTATCAAAAGCTTTGGAGGAGTCACATGAAATACCCACAGTGAGAATATGTTTATCAAAATTTTCTGTTATTGACGTGGTAATACTACGCATCGCAGATGCTGTAGATTTTCCACATAGAAATCCATGTTGAGCTTCACTAATAATTTTGTTGTCGATCAAAAAATTCAACACCCTTTTATGCATAATATTCATGGAAATATTGACGCCACAGAATATTAGGTCAGTTTGAATCGCGGCACGTTTGATCTGAACTCGTTATCACATGACGGAAGTATGTTCGGAATAATGTCAGCAAATAACTCGCTGTGCCGTGAATTTGGCTCAGATTGAGGGGTAGTACAGGTCGGTTTTTGAAATCTACCATTCAATGGGCTTATATCACAAAAAAAAATTATTTCATAATTCGATAGAACTCACCCAAACTAGCTCACCACCGCAAACCGTTTCTTGCTGTGAGCTCCCTACGTTTTATAAAAAAATATTGAAATCCCCGATTTTTCGGACCTCTGAAAACGAGGCGATGATGTGACGTCAAAACCCTAATACTGAAACAAGACTATTCCAGGCAGAGATGAATATGATACATGATTTCTGACAGAGTGAATTAGCGCGAGATAACAGTTGAAAGAATTAATATATCAGTTGCCTCAGTCTCCGTCGGGCGTTTGGTATTTTCTTTGAACTATGGCGAGATGAGGTATCTACGTCATAAGAGGGTCCGTTTTCAGAAGGTACTATTATTTATGTTCAAAAATCAAACATTCCAGTAAATTTTTCGATCGAATTATGTCGTCAACCATTATTTATGTATGTATTTATACTAAGGTGTACACGCTCATTGGTATCATAGGGCATAATTCATATCTCGTTGTCAAATCACGAATTCGAGTGCAAATTTCAGCACAAAAAAGTGCTAATTTCCAATCATTTTGCTCAGGATAGTGTTTGGCACAGGTGCAGTTCGATAAACTACAATGTTTTTACATTCCTTTGGGACATATTATATCATTTCGTTAGTAGAAATCTGCAGCCGGCTCTCTTACTATTAGGATGAACATTATATTTTCAGCTTGTGAGTAATATACAGGGTGTTTTAAAATTCAGTATCAAGATTTCAGAGGCTTATTCTTCAGATCAAAATAAGATTTTTTTACTATAAACATAATATGGTGTGTATGCAAACGCTTCGTTGCAGATCTACACAGGGTTAAAATTTCGAGTTTTCTTCTTTTTTTTCTTTTCCTCGTAGTTTTCGAGATATTCAGATAGGAACACAGGTTACGTTTTCGGGTTCACATCATACAGTATGCCGAGTGATTGTAAAAATCTACAGGGAGATATTTTTTGAAGGGTCAAGCCCTTTTTCGCAACATAAACTCTTTTGTGGTGGTAGATTTTGGAATACGAAATGAGTTCTTTGTTTGGGTTGAAAGCTTTGTTGTCTCCTGTATTTTCTACGCATACGTGACCGTTATTAAGAAAAAGAATCATTCTCTTCAATTTGCTAGAGAAAATCAATTTTTTTTTCGTAATCCCATGCTGTTATTTTGATTTAACGGTATTCAGATGACAATTGAAAAGTTGATGTTAACAGCCTCCGTCCGTTAAGATTGTTTAACTGTTCCATAACAACATGATGTTGGGATTTTTACGTAGAATTACGAGGTACGTGGTTTGTCCTTCCTCGGAATTAAAATGTAATCTTTCAGGGGGATTTCGAGAAGTCTTGAACAACACATATAACTATAACGAAATGGAGGAACGTATTATCACAATGTAATCAAAAAACGCTACATATTCAGTTTGTGAACTTGATTACAAGTATAAGGAACCTAACAAACCTTGACTTTTTATAAATGGTGCTGGAAAATGAAAAAACTCTTGAAACTTTAAAGCTCTGCAAATCGGTAACGAATCGTTTGCGAACACATTAAAAAAAGGATCATTTTGAACTGAAAAATAAGTCCCTGGAATCTTGATAATGAATTTTTTAACACCCTGTATATCACTATAATGGGGAAAATATAATCATAAGGAAAACATAAATTTATCATTTCGTATTTTGAAAACTCCTTTCTGTCATTGATGATGTATCAACAAATCTTCATAGGATAGTGAAAAATAGCTAATAAAAATACAATAAATTTCTCAACATATGAATATGAATTGATAATAATCAGAACAAACCAATTTGGTTATGAATTGGATTTCGAAATTGGCAGCTTTTGTTTTACGTGAAAGAATCATTTCCGAAAGATATTTTTCAATATACGAAATGAAAAATCTTATATGTTGCAATATTTTGTTGGTCACTAAATAGTTCAATTAATCGAATGCAGGTGTCTTACTTAGATGTTTCATGTTAATATGTCTACAAAGAAACATGTGTGACTAACTATTTGAAACCAAAGAAGTGCACTAATTTATAATTCTATAATAATTAAAGAGGAAAAATTAGTTTTGTATGAATACATACTGGTATTGGATATAGCAAGCGGCTTTCTACAGGGTGTCCCCCCCATAGGGAAACGGAAAAACGTCAAAGGTGAGTAGAGGTTTATTGGACAATTTCAAAGGTGGATAGGGATGGAGGTCATCAAGGTGATTCTGGAAATACCATATTTGTAGGATCTTTCCAGTCTTATATTCGAGATAAAGGGTGTTTCATCAATTTTTCTCAATTCTTTGAGAGGCCATAACTTAGGAACCACGCAGTATATTTCTTAGAAGAAGAAAAAGCAACAAACTCAAAGTCGGTCGACCACAAAATTCAATGTAAAACACCATGTGTGTGACTAGTTTCAGCACCATGGCCATCTTCAGACACAATAGTAAAGAAGAAGTAGGTACCTGGAAATTACGAAGATATTGAATTTAAGACAATATGTCAGCTGAGAAAGTACAAACTTTTTTTGAAGTAGAAACTAAATAACTTAAAATTTTGAGAATTCAAATACAGAAATTGATTAGTCAAAGAGCATTCGAGAAAATGAAGAGTAACTACACAATTCGAATAAGCTTTTTGTGCACTTTCTAAGTATGTAAGGAGATTTTGGATATTCTTAAATACAGGGTGTTGTTTTTGGGGCCCAGAAAAATAGTAAATTTTCGTTAATACGGACCTGGATTTTTAACGTGACTGAAAGGCGAGTCGCTTGGATAGAAGGAGAACTTGCGTACCAGATTCCAAAAAAATAAACTGGGTGGTTCGTGACTTGTGAGACCCTACAAATATGGTATTTACAGAACCACCTTGATCTATCTACCGTTTCCCAATGGGACAACCTGTTTAAAACATCTTCATACTTTTTATATTTTTCGAGGACTCTGAAGGAAATTCAGTTCAGTTGAACTCATCTTGACATAACGACAATAGAGAATGTGGAATTTATGGTCAATTGCCAAACACTTGCAAAGACTTGCATTCACCAGGTTCTTGGACCTCTGGAATTTTTTGTTATTTGGGAGAATACCTTCGAGTTACTGAAGCTTTTGACGTATAGCAAAGCAAGGAATCACCTTAGGTCTGTGATGTTGATGTTGTGAGAATATATTATGACGATGGCAAGGAAGCAATCGTTGATGAAATCCATTTTTGGATATTATGAATTGTGTGATCGTTCGAAAATCTCGAGATATCCATAAATATGTTTAGTTTCATCAGCGAACATCACTGTTTACTGTACAGAATGACCAAAATTGGTTGTCTCAAATAAAATTAGGAAAAAGATATCCTATTAAACCAATGCATGACAACATCTTGAGTCAATTTTTGTATATTGTGATTGATATTCATCATATTTTTATATATGTGTAATCATATTTCTTACTCCCGAATACTCATCCTTGAAATTTGATATAGTGTAATGAAAACGTTTGTTGTAAAAATCCTCGAAAAGGAGATGTTTTTGTAGGTTCTGAAAAACAAAAATACAAATGGTCATCTACATTGGAGGAAAATTAAATTGACACTTTTTTTGAAAAGACACCCATTTTAACTTTCAATATTTTCAGACAGGGATTATCATTATGAATTCAACAGTCAGTACCTACTGGGTTATTTGGTTGTCATTATATTCACAAAAATGAAAGATGCTTTAATTTCATTAGATTATGTTTGAGTTAGTACCAAGGAGGTTTCCAAGTTTTCCTATCTTCCGTTCTATTTCAGATATTATTTCAGTGGATGAGTATAACTCAAAGAATCAAGTGGACCACTAGAATTTTAGACGATTTTTAAAATGAGATAACTTCTTTGCGAATAAACCGATTTTCAATCGGAATGCAGTGTTCAAAAGATGCGTCCTTTCTGTTGAGGATTCATGGTTTGAAACTTTTCGTTTTCCAGTTATGACATACCAATTGGTCAGAAAGAGTGTTACATAAGCGAACGAGTTTAGGAGATCCCGTATGCCCCATGAATTTTGTCATCCTTCTGCAAATCAACTTTCTCAAATTTTCAAGTCAATATCTCGCAATTTCCGACCTTCTTTATAAAGGATGTGAAATATCATGATTTCTCGATATTCTGTATCTCTATACATTTCTGTGGATTTAAAAAAGTTCAGGCGATATTCAAACCCTACTGCACTGTTATACGATCGAATTCATCCCTGGTGAAGTTATCCAGCCGGCTTTAAGAGCAGCAGAACTTTCGACAACAAAATGAGCGTTTTTCGAATAATGAGTGAGATTTTGTGAAATCGTCTGCTCATATTGATGCTGTTACAATAATGTGCTTTTGAAATTATGAATCCTTCATTCAGATGTATTGTCCTAGTCAACATCTCGAAACCATTTCGTGATTTTCTAGATAAGTCAATGTCTGGGACAGCAAGGGGGCACTTTTACATTATTCAGTACTTTACATAAAATATTGATGAAACGGTGATTTCCAGACATTCCTGAGTTGATATTAAATTAAGAAACCTCTATAGTGCACGTTTCTTTCATCACTTGGGAAAAGTGCCCGTGAAAAGACGATTCTAAGCAAATGATTACATTTCAAACAATCCAACACCCAATATAACATCCTATTCGTGGGAATCAATGTTACCAGGTGGCGCTCGGTTTTCGTTCCATGTCAAAGCCACGTCAAAACTGGGGGAAAACAAACTCGATCCTCACTCAATCCCATTAGTGCTATTAGCTTGTGTACTGTGTACTGATAAGAGTGATGTTTTTTTCTTGACATTCGTTGTCAATATTCGATCCAAAACGCTAATAATGCCTGTTGTAGATGTTTTTTTGGCAGATATTTTGCTTTATTTAGATGGAAAAAGCCGACCAGTAGTGGATGGAGAAGCAGTTCTCCGTGCTAATCATGTGATTTTGTGTGAGGCAGAAGACTTCAACAAAAGGCACATTTTTGCACTTTTTCTACAAACTTCGGAGATGAAATCTTCCCCACATTAAGTAAAATTGAGGTTGGGGTCCAGAGGAACTCCTGTAGAAGACTGGATTTGTATTTGTTCCTGCGAAGCAGGACAATCTGGGTATTGTTGGGCTAGATTTGGATCTTTTGGAAAAAAATGCATAGACACACTTTCCGAAATATAATTATTGCACTGAGCAGTACTTTTTTGATTTGCTCGTCGTAATTAGTGTGAATTGTTTGAACTATCTCCAATTCTTCACCCGTTCACTGTTCACTAAACTAATAAAAATGTAATAATGTAAAAAAAATAACCAACTCATCACCAACAATTTATGTCATTGACAAGTTTGACAACTACAGCTAAGCAAGCTGTATCCAATATAGTCTATGCACTTTATCTATAGACAACAGTTTGTTTTCCCCCAGTTTGAAGTTCGTATTATGTAACCTAGATGTCGTCCACTACGTGAATCTCGCGAATTATGAATGAATGGCCAAGCTCCTGACAACAACTGTCATTATACTACAGTAATCGGTCTTAAACCAGCACGAAATTGTTTTGAGATGTTGACTGAGGCAATCCATCTGAATGAAGGATTCATGATTTCACAAGCATATTACTGTAGCAGCATCAATATGAGCAGATGATTTCACAAAATTTCACACATTATTCGAAAAACGCTCATTTTAATGTTGCCGAAAGTTCTGCTGCTCTTAAAGCCAGGTGGATAACGTCACCACGAATGAAATCGATCGAATCACAGTGTATTACAGATTACGGTTTGAATATCGCCTGAACTTTTTCAAATCCACGGTAATGCACAAAAATACAGAATATCGAAAAATATCGATATTTTACATCCTGTATAAGGAATGTCAGAAATCCCAAAACCATTTCGAGATATTGACTTGAAGGTTTGACAAAGTTGATTTTGCAGAACGATGAAAAAATTCCTGGGAAAGACGGGAGGTCCTGAACTTTTACAATTATGCAACACTCTCTTTGGTCATAACTGGAAAACTTCGAAAAGTTTGGAACAATCAATCTCAAAAAAGTTATCACATTTTAAAAAACGTCGAAAATTCAAGTGGTCCACTTAATTCTATGAGCACTTTGATATTGTTCAGCATTCCATTATCAGGCTAATTTGGAATTGAAATAATTTGACCACTGTGTTTTTTTTTATTTTGATGTCATTCAGGGATTATGAAAAGGAACTAGTTTGCAAGAGAAAAACCGTGAAAACAAAAAAAATATTCAATGAATCCAAGTTGATTTTAGATAATGTTTGTATCATAATCGTATACGAAAGTTCTGGTGTGTGGTTTAGAAACGAGAAAAATAAAATTCATGTGAAATGGCATATTTTCATCTACTATTATTTACCAGCTTTCAGAATAGACCAAACTAGAAATCGTATATTTTCAATCATAACATTAGAACGATATATTTTTCGGATTGGTGGGGATAGATGGAATTACTTTGTCATTCCTGATGATTAGTAAAGTTGTAAAATAAAATAATAAGTACTAGATCAGCTTTAAGGAGTTTAGAGTTGAACAAAAATATACTTAATATTGGATTCCTAAACAATTCATCAAATCAAACAATTTACCATTGAAGCTGATTTGGTATGTACAATATTATTGGACAGTAGTGGTGCTAATTGCAATGATTAGGTGCGGTAGAAAAACTAGTTTGTTAATGACATCGTTCAATAAAAAAATACTGGAATCGTAAACTCAGACTGTAATACTAAGATAATAAAATATGTCACTGTAGGCTGTAGAAACATTATTCATCATTGTTATAAGCTCATAATATATTGTTATGTTCAAAATGACACCTTGTTGGTATCATATCAACATATCACATGTAACTTTTGATGAACTGCCAAGGTGTTTAAATGGCATTTTTGTAGATACAGTTACAAGGCTTTGAGAAAGCGGTGTGTAGAATAGCAATAATATTTGTATATTTGTAATATGTATGATTTGATTTCAACAACGCTTCCGTTGAATATTTATTTCGTTTTTATGTTTTTATTAAATATTACTATAACCATTAGCACTTATTGTTGCTTCATTTTTTCCTTCCCTAAGACTGTTGTTAGGGACATAATATTCACAATTTATATTTATATACGGTTTGCAGGAAGAATACCTAATAATTATTGGAGAAATGAAAGATACAGATAATAAAATATAAGTGTATTATAACACATACAAATTTATATTCTATAAATATATCAACAAATTACCACACATTGGTCGAAAGCTGCGGTGATAGCTGTACTTTCATCAAATGAAAAAACAAAAAGAATCGAGAAAATTTGAAGTTTTTTAAAAATAACAAAATAAAATTGAAATTCCGTTAACAGAATAAGGCACATTTATGATCAAGTAACGGCTGAGTCAAGTGCGACAATATCATTTTGTTTTGCTGCCTTATTTAATAATGACGTTTCATATAAAATAATACTGTTTTATTCCTGTGAGATTCACGTGGACTTGCAATTTATGGCTTATGAAATCACTTTTGGAGGGCGGAAACGCAGAACCTCGTAAATCACATGACTGACATTTTACAGTAGAGCAGAGTTACATTTAGTGTGTGATGTTGTAATGCCTCGTATAGGTGCAATATTCCACAAGGTTTGAATATTATGCAGGACCTCCTAAATGCAAACTTTAAATTATATTATTATACTTCTTGATAAAACCCTACAAGAGTTGAGATGACTTAAATGATATGAAATGGAAGCTTTATCTTACACAAACCGAATATAGTGTCTTCTTCTTTTTTTATGTTCATTGGTTTTCTGGCTTCATGCGGTACCAATTTCACCAGATCATATGGTATGTATTTTTTGGTAGGAGTTCTTTAGGTTTGTGTTATCAGTCCTTATTTTCCCCATTAATCAGGAGTAGGTTGTTATTACATTTAGGGTACAAAGGTGTTAAAATACTGTGTCAAATTACCTCATTTTCTTTGGAATGGCAGAAAATCTGGTGAGCTTAAAGCAGATGGCACTATTTAGATTTGAGGACATTTCCACTTGCAAATTTTTGCATATTCATTTGCAGTAACGGAATTGTATTCCAAACTTCAATATCAATTGCTATTACAATAATTCTGTGTTGTATGTGAAAGTCTAGAATAGACACAAGTATGCCATAACCTCACCTCTTTCAATCTTTTCTTTATATAATTTATATGCAGATGACCTCCATCCACACCAGTGCCGCAACGTGGTATCAATAACAAATCTCCCTGCTCATATTGCATTTTTCGTGGATTTACTCAATATGCAATGACAATCTTGCTTTGAAACTAACATATAAGAGGAAATGCGTCTGAAACTAGCATTTTCCCATTTTCGAGGAACTGTTCTGTAAATCACTGTCAACATATAATAAATGAAATTTTTTTCACTGACAAATAGTTACGAGGTCCTGCGTTTCAGCAGTCGATTTGTGAAAAATGGAGCAAAATCACCAGAGAAGTTGATGAAAGTAAAGGAAAAAATGTATTGAAAAGCAGGGAAAGGTGTAAGGCGGCAGGCTGAAAATTTAACGGATCTTGAAAAAAAAGATTAATAATCAGAACTAGATATTTTTGTTATTTAGTGATTTGGAACACATTGAGAAATCCAGTTCACCAAATGACCCTATTGATGTTAATTCAATGCATGTATTACGAAAATCTATTTCATTTTTATATGAAGTTGGTGACAATTTAAATGATAGAATAACACTTGTCCCAGTTACTTGTAACAAAGACATCAACAATATTAGATGGTTGTATGCAGATTATCTCAACTCATCATCCATAATCAAAGTTTTCGAATATAAATTATATTTTTGAGTCAAAATGTGTATGTAAATAAAGCCAAAAGGCACTCTACGGACGGCTATAAATACAATCGTTAATACTGTCATATTCTGGAATATCGTGATAAAGTCAAAAGTATATTTAGCTCAAGAGATTACTTACTACGAAAAGAATCATAATTTACACAGCAGATCATATAAGTGATTTAAAACTATAGTTTAAAGTGTTGATAACCAAAAAATTTAGCACAGTTGTTTATGTTACCTTGTTCATTTACATCCACTTTTTATTTTCAACTGAACCATGCAGTATTTTTTCAATTTTTCAGATTCAGTGCTCGAATCACACACTAGAAATATTTTCAGGTCAAAATTTCAAAAATGTTAAAACTGAGTTTGGACTATGAAATGAAATAATGTTGTTTTAGTTCCTTCTTATGTAAAAAAATAAAATAATACCATTTCATAGCATCATGAATTTTCAAACATATAACTTCCTATGAAAATGACATGGGCCCTAATCTCCTTGATGCCATATTAGTGCAAATCCCATAAAATATCAAGTACATAAAAAACACCGTGAACTGTTACTTTGCCATTCCTCATTCTATGTAGAAAAACAAAAAAAAAAAACATCAAAATCTGGTGTAAATGTTAATTTTTTTCAACGCCATTCAGAATGAAATCTTTTTTCCTCCAAATAGAACAACACAATTTTTGTGTAAGTTCAGAACCATATCCATTAAATTCAAAGTATCACAAGTTGATATTTAATGTATTTTTTTAATGAGATGTTCAAGAAATAACTTTATAAGTGTTTTCCAAATCAATGGATTCGTTTATTTTTTGAAATCGGGTATGAAATAGCAGAATTACAGTTTACGACATAAAATGTCGTTTTTTATAAGAAAGTTGCATGACATTTTTTGTAGCAGTTATTGTACTCAATTTTCATGAGATGATTAAGATGATTGAGATGTTTACAAATATGGCATAAATGAACTTCTTGAAACATATAAATATCATGATTGAAAGAGATAAGAAACTTACCATATGTTCAAAAAATGATATGTAGTGAAGTAGTAAGTATAATTGTTTTTTTATACGCAGGAACTAAAACAAATATTTCATATGGCCGTCATTGCCATGTTAATATGATCCAAAAATAAGATTAACAAAAGTTGAAACTTGTGGAATTTTGACCAGAAAAGATCAATTGAAAGATGATGTCAGTAAACAAGATAGCATAACAAATGATTTCTTGTTTTCCAATCCGTTGCGTTCTGTTCATTCGCGTCTAGTCCATCTCATTAAAATTACATTTCAAGTTCTCAGAAAACAAGAAAAATACAGTGGAGCAGATGATCAATAGTAAATGGCATCAACTATACCTAAACTCTGCCAGACATTCGTTACCAATCCGACTATACATTAATATTCAAGAAAAACATGTCGAAATAATGATGAACATTATTTGTCGTAAAATATATACAAAATGGTAGGTGCATGAAGAAATAAAAAAATCTGAGATCTCATTTATGTGAGTTGAAGATCATGAGTGTGATTACATAATATAAGAAATTCTTTTGAGAATTATTTCAGAACATAATAACTACCTTAATGTAGAAGAAAAGTAACGGTATTCAATGGAGAAAGAAAAAATTGCACCTTTAAATTATAAAGTTAAATGAAAATTCAATATTTATAATTTTTTTTAAATTGACCCCATAATGAAATGATTTACAAATAATTTGATTTCAAGTGTCACATTTCGTAGTAATGATGTGGAAATCTAATCTTTAATATATTCAAATATTTAAGCCTAATAAATAAAATCGATGAAGTTTAAATGAATTGACTTCATTTTCATCTTTAGTAATTACAAAAAACATAATATTTGGCATTACATCTAAATCTATTGCTAAAAAACTATACACAATACTTAGTAGTAGTTAAGTATCAACAATATGCAACAGCTACCTTGACTAAAGTATAGTCAACGATTTGAGTGAAACATGAGACAAAAAATAATTATTTTAAAAATAGGTTTGATTAATGATGCAATGATTAGGTTTTGTTCAGAATTATCATACGGAATATCACGATGTTCAGAGCAGAGTGGTATTTTGCTAGACTATTTCATGAATCATAAGAAGCATTTATTATAACTGAACTAGTCGTATAACCAAAGTGAATGATTCCGACATCTACAGCTATAATCAGTTTATATCAAACCGACTGACTTTGCTTCTCTATCCATGGTTACATCGTTGGAAACACCAACGCTGATAGAACAATCAGAATTGAAAGACAGGGTTTTCGCAAAAATCATTAAATCAATAGACAGCTTTCTGTAGACAGGAAATAACCTCATTCATCAGATATTTCCTCATATTGAGAAAATGGTCATACATTCACAAGAAAATACATCAAACTACAGTGAAATCATAGAATTGAATTAGAAGAGGTTATTCTCCATGCTGACAATTGTTCAAATATTACATTTTAAATAAGCGGGGTGTATTTAAACATTTCCGATAAATAGGGAATGCAAAAAGTCGAAAGATGATTTCAAAGTGACGTCACAATCCCAATGGAATCAGCATTGCTATTTTCAGTGATTTTCGTAAATATGACAAATGAATGATTTGATTCATAAATGAATTTAAGATGAAATTATACCCGTTTTCTCCCTATAGTAATGAATTTTCATTATTGCATTACCAGAATCACGATTTTCATTATAGAATAGTGGCGTCACTGAATCAAAACCAATGTTGAGACAATGATGAAAATAAGTAGATGGTGTGCGTACTCGGCCATTTTTACGTATTGAAAACTTAAGAAAAATCACTCGACCGCTTACTATGATTTCTCCACGTCAGATCGAGCGAGACGTTAAATCTACTTCTTTCTGCTAGATGGTGATGCTGGTATTGCTGCTGTGACGAGTGTGACGATTCAAAATAAAATAGCAAATGGCGTTTCAAGTTTGCGGAAATGTAAAAGTGGGTTTATTTCACTCAAAATTCGAAAAATCTGCAGCAATTTCAACATTGACAGATGTCATAATTGTGCATGCCGAGAAGAATTTCGGAAACAGAAGCGGCTCAGTAAGTACCCCTACTTATTTCCATCATTGTTGTGACGTTAATTATAATTACCCCCTTGTGGATGAATTTATTGACCTTCGGCAGTATATTATTCAGGTATCAACTCTTTATTCAAACCACTATGCAAAATTGAAAAAAAAAATGATAAAACAATATTTCAAGTGGATAGAATTATAGTTGAAAAATGATTGTTTCTTATTTTTATAATTACTCATCATACCCCATGAACTTCACGTGATAATCATTGCGTCAATAATTGAAATTGATCAGAGTACTTTGAGTTATGATAATTAATAAAGATTTGTTTAAAACTTTTGTCAGCGTTTTCTCATGCAGGCGACAGTGGACACTTCACTTACCCTTTTTCTAGAGATAATTCGTTGTTCTACATGAAAAAATCGATCATATCATAACCTTGCTTTCAATCAATACAGTTGGAATGAAGTTGACGGTTACCGCCAACCGAGATCGATGTCGTTGGTGAAATACGGCCTCACAACTTGATTCTGAGACCAAGAAAGCTCTAATAGTAATTTGCTCCAGGTCATTATGGACAACTGTCAACCTATAAACCTCAGTTGAACGAACAGACTAGAAAAGATAAGTAACGCCATCTGTGAAATTGAGTCAATAATAAATCATTCAAACAATGAGTTTTTTTTCATATGGCATCTTCGACACTATTCGCCTCATTTGATTAGAATTACAAAGATGTGATTATTCTGATATGGATAATATATGAACATTATGATTAAAAAAATATGTCGTTATGTTTATCATCTTCCTGTCGGAAGGTGGAAGCTTCTGAAAACTTAATGATCGGGTCGATTATGTTCGGATCTTGTGATAACATTGCTAAATTAAAGATATTCTTATGATCATAGTAACTGCAAGATCGGTTAGAAGTTCAGGTGATAGCAATATTGTTGGAACATTGGGAATTTTTGAGCTGAAATCACTGTTTTTATCTCGTTTGTTAAGTGATAGGTACTGTTAGGACCAATTTTCATGAAGAAGAGTTTATTTTTATATAAAGTAATCAATAATGTCCCGAAATATAACAACCGAAAGCCAGATGGAATTATTGATCGTGAGTTTTTTGAAAAGAACCCTATTCTTATAACCAGAAAAACTCACATTGCTAGCTTATTCAGCAAATTAGTTTGATAAACACTCCATAAGGAAACTCCAAGGTGGATTGCTGATATTTCTGATCTGATATGCCGAAATTGTAGTCTCATAATTCCTCTACAAATTGATACTTCTATGGAAGGTTTTTGAGTAGTTGTTACACAAAGTGAACTTCTTATATGTTTACGATCACTAATTTTCCAAACTTGGATGAAATTGTAGTGCAAAAACAAAGGATTCAAATATCTTATGATACACAAAATTGATGTTGCCGAGATAACAAGAAAATTGACAGCTCATATTGCCCAAAATCGATGAACAGAATTCCACTATTCCGAATCTTGCTGTGATAACAATATCTTCTCTACAACCATACCGCTATTTGCAAACAGAATCGACTCGATGTGCTACCAAAATGAAAAGAGCTGGAGCCCACAACGTGTTTTTTGTGTCTCATTTGTTCACACTCAGCAGTATAAAACCCCTCAAATTCTACCTTCCACTACACGGATATGAGCTTGCCGAATAAAAATCTTGGACCAAAGGGTGGGGGCCGGCCAATTTCGCAAGTTACTATAATTGGAAAAAAAAGTTTGTGCAGATGACATTGATGAACCTGTAGGGTGGATACGATGCGCAGTGGCGCTGTTTATTGTTGTAAACAATTATTTTAAAAAATTATCATTTTTTGATGTTCGGCATTTTGTTTGTTCAACTAATTATTCACAAAAACTCATAACAATATGATCGCCGAACATTTTGGTTGGATCGGGGGCCGACCGCCTCCGCGTACTTTCGGCGATGGTGTTTTATGTAATCAATAGTATAAATAACATCATTATGTGAACCCCTAACAAGATGATTGGACCTGTTTTTTTTGTGAATGGCGAATGAATGACGCAGAAAAAAATCAATTCTTCTTCATAACAAATTTTCAAAACAACGGAATGAACGACGAATGTATTTTACTTTCGTTAGTTACTTAAAACAGGTCCAATCAGTGTGTTCTGGGTTTACTTTATGACGTCTATTAAACTATTAATTATTATAAAACACCATCGCCGAACGTTGATGAATGATACTGTTAACGAAAATTGAATTTTAAGACTAGGAAGATCAATATCCTATTGATGTATTCGGCATATATTTTTCATCCTTCCATTTCCTTTAAAAATAATATAAAATCGATACCGTACATTGATGTATAATAAACGTTTACTCTACACCCTAAAGACGAAAGTACGCATATGTGGTTGGCTTCCGATCCAGCCAAAATGTTCGGCGATCATATCTCCAGATTTTGTGAATAATTCGTTGAATTAACAGAATACCGAACATTAACAAGGAAGGTTCATATAATAATGCTGTGTGTGAACAAATGACACAAAAAACGCGTTGTGGGCTCCCGGTAAAATGCCGGTGTGCACTGAGGGAGAAGATAAGCTGATTATTTTATTCACACATGTCTGCAACTATGAAATATCATGATTCAAGTCACATGATGTGCGGCTTTGCTTTGATTGACTAGCGTCTAGCCAAAGATGTCTAGCCATTGCACAGAGACGAGGTAATATTTCCGTCTATCGAAACGGCGGAGAGCTTGGCTCACGACCGACCCTCATAAAAGAAAACATCATTGAAATAGCGAATTACTATCAGCTTCAACAGTAAATGCATCTACAGTATTTTTTTCGAATAGTCACTGCGGCAAAACATAAAAAGGTAGCTTGAGTAGGAACTCGAATCAGGAACCTTTCCATCCATAGGCAAGTACGCTGCTTTATTGACCACCACGCTTCTGCCGAGACAAAGTTCAAAAGAATTTCCCACGCTCTATCTATACTAACAGCCGTGGAAATATTTCCCAGATAAGTCATGGAAACCATCCATCCTTCTCAAAGTGGTCCAAAATTTTTTATGAAAAACAGTATAATACAAAGTCGGTCGACCACAAAAATTTCCCAGGTAGTAGTGGTTATCATCAGATGGTAAATTAACAGCTAAAGCTCTCGGTTATTCAGATTATTGACGTTCTATGGACGCATCAAATAGTCAAAATATAAGGTACTCTCGATAGAATTATGATGAAAATATAGTCGGCTACTTGTCAAGGTCTGGGGATATTAATTGCGATAATAGACGTCTTCAAACTTTACCTTCACTAATCTAGTCCATTCGTTCTTCTGGGCTCGCTCGACAAAAAACTCACCGGCACTCCTCTACGAATAGTTCGTGTGTTTCGCCCCGCGCATCAGCGGCACGAGCAGCACGGGCGGCCCCGCCTGCCGCAGGAAGGGATGCGCGAGCAGCTCCTGCGCAGTGGCGCGCTGCGTCGGATCGCGCACCAGCATCTTATCGAGAAAAGAGTGCAGGCGGGGCGACACTTTGTGCGCATTCTTCAGCTTGGGCGGCGGCATCTCGCGGATGCGCCGCATCGCTTGCAAGGGCGGCTCGTTGAAGAAGGGCGGTTCGCCGTCGACCATTTCGATGACCTGTTGCCGAATGGTGTGATCATAATAAAAGGTGTATAGGAATGATTCGAATTAACACCGCACTTTTTGGCAATATCTCAAACTTTTTAGACATGCAAGAATGAGAATTTCGGTACTAGGTGTCTTTGAGTATGAGAAGTCCTCAAGTTGGCGCTATTCATTTTTACACTTACACATACAATGAAGAGGAAATATTTGATTGTTTGTTTGTTTCACCATTAGAAGACGACATTATCCCTGATGGGCATGGGCTACTTTTACCAGGGGAAAATGCTTCATTTCAACGGGAAAAGGGAAAATAGGATAACGGGTAAAGTAATAATTATCCTTCTGTACTTATCATTTTCACATACCTTCAAAACAATAGAACTGATTGGGTTGAAATTTTATATGGGTATTTCGATGTTTTCCTGGATGATTTAAAAATACAATTGGACTCGGTAGGAAGCGCTGCTGTCGGTACGTCAACTACTAAACGGCTTGACCAATTGGGTTGAAATTTTTAATACATAAAACAAAAAAAAACACAAAAGAAACTGAGAGAATGAAAATGAGTGTAAGTTGGTAAATATCAGCTATAGCTAAGCACAAACAACTTTTAAAACTAACAGAAAAATAGGTACTACAGATATGCGCATAGCTCAGAACGACTGCAACAAATGTCTTATATTTTTCTAAATAGGTACATCAACCGTGCGAAACCTGACCGGACAGCTAGTTAAACAATATTAGAGACAGTATTTGTAGCCCACCCGATTCGCAAAAGAACCGGCTATGCACAAGTCGCCAGTTCTTTGTTGTGTGTTAGCTGGTTTGGCCACGTGAATTCGTGAAACTTTGAGTTCATTTTTCTTTACGTAAAACATAGACGTTACGTTCGTACGAAGGCCTGGAAGGGACACATAAAATAAAAAAAATGAAAACTCAAATTTTACATAAAAATTCCGACTTATATCTCGGAATTTCAAAATTCCGTGTTATAACTCAGAATATTGGATGTAAAATTCCGACTTATATCTCGGGATTTTAAAATTCCGAGTTATACGTCGGAATTTTACATCTAATATTCCGAGTTATAACACGGAATTTTTAAATTCCGACTTATAACTCGGAATTTTACATCAAAATTCCGACTTATAACTCGGAATTTTAAAATTCCGAGATATAAGTCGGAATTTTACATCCAATATTCTGAGTTATAACTCGGAAATTTACATCCAATATTCCGAGTTATAACACGGAATTTTAAAATTCCGAGATATAAGTCGGAATTTTGATGTAAAATTCCGAGTTATAACTCAGAATTTTGAAGAATTTTAATTTTGTTCATTTTATGTGTCCCTTCCAGGCCTTCGAGTACGTATCATCCTTTTTCCACGCATTTGAATTCGCATTTTCATTTCATAATAATGTTGCACAATATGTTTCAAGTCATATATATGACATATTAAAAAAAAATTAGGAATATTTTTCCTATAGAATGGTTGCGTCAAATATCGTGTTGCCATTTGGCAGCACTAGGCGTTTATACACAGAGAATTTGGTGACTCTCCAGCCGAGCCAGTGGATGCTGACCAGTGACAGGGTTTTTAATACGGCCATTCTAATATGTGATTGGTCAAATAATTGGATGAGTGAGTAGGAAACGAGGAAGTTATTCCACTTGCTCGAAGAAACCTGGGTCCCGATTCTCGAATCTGTTGGAATTCGTTCCCGATGATGTATTCTTGAACTATTGTATGGGAAACTATTCCTACACATTTCAAGAGAACTGCTTCCCATGGTAATACTCATGGGAAAAACATGTTTCCCATAGGATACACTCATGAAATACGAAGATATTCTCATTTGTGATGGGAACTGAACCCTAGTAAAAAATAGGAAAAAACATATGTATTGCAAAACATGGCAAACATAGATGAAATAGATCATCTAGAGGCTTTACAAAATTTGGAAGTGGCTGAAATCCTTGCAACAAGACTAACAAGAAGGTTTTTGCGTAGAAGGGACCATTTGAGTGTTTGTCTGCTGCACAATTTATTAAAGTTTTTCGTTCGTCCAAAGACATTACTAGAAAATTGATAGGTACTTTAGAATCCTTATAAGTGAATTGGAGGTGAAATTTTCCTTTCCTCAAGTCCTCAGAGGCCTCCATTATTTCTATTAAAAGTCTAGTCAAATGTCACCATTTCATTTCAATCATCCACCAGTTACCAACATAAATTCCACTTATTTCATTGGTTAATTCATGTGAGTTCAAGAATCTATCTGCCACATACGGCACTTTTTCGATCCCCTGGGAAAAACGATTCCATCTGGTCCAAGAATAGGTGTCATGACGAATTCCTATGAGAACAGAAAGCATTGGATCATTCTCCTATAGGATAGAGTTCCTACAGATTCGAGAATCGGGCCCCAGGTGGTATGCGTTGTTTTTGAAGGTAATAGGTAGTAATACTTGTATATAGGAGGCATATACACTAATGATGTTTTCATAGCTTGGAAATGTAAACGTTGTAGGAGAACGTCAACAATGATATTGAGAACTAAGCATTTATATTTTCATATTCATTATTTCACTCTTTATCTTCATCTCTGTGATTAGTAATTTTAAACATTTTTAATCAAATGGGCATTCAAAGTGATCAAACATCAAAAGTTTTCGTCAAAAATTGTAATTCTCCGAAGGTTGATGGAGGAGGCGGAATAGTCATACATGATGGCTGTCCATAAAAAACTGGAATTTTGTTTTTGACCAATTTTCTATTTATTTTGGTCTTGTTTGAGAGATAATTGTACAAGACAAAACGACAAATCCATATTTATTGAATTCTTTCATGAAACAAAATGGCGGAAACAACTAAACTTGGCCGAGCTTGAAAACTTGCTGGAATTTTTTTGAGTCGCAATTTTCATAAAAATTCTAATTTTGAGAGTTTACATATATTTGATCTTCTCAAACGTTCGTTATTTGTTTATATTCATTCAACTCTTTTTGTATGTTAAATCAATTTTTTTTTCATAATCTTTGGGCAAATCTGAAAGGATGAAGATATTATCATTGTTTTCATGTTATTTTCCAAACAGAAAATACAGGCAAAACAACAAACACAAAAAAATCGGAATCCAGATGTGAAGACATCTGTCTTTATATTCTGCTCAGAAAAGTTCAAAATCTCAGAATCTCACACGCTATACAGTGCGACTCCAAAAAGTTCCAGCAAGTTTTCAAATTCGGCGAAGTTTTGGTGTGTCCGCTATTTTGTTTTATGAAAAAAAAAAATCAATGAATATGATGTAGACGTTTTGTCTCGTTGAATTATCTTCCAAACAATACCAAAATCAGATTTTCGTGAACAAAATCAGAAGATTTGTCCCAAAATATAACCTGAAAGAGATAGTGAAACCTTGAAATTGTTCTTCATAAATCTGTTTCGTTTTCCTCTATTGATAATTCTCATTGACATTGATTTTGATTCATTAACGCAGAAAGTTCTAAAGAATGAGACGTTTCAGAGTTTTTTCAACATTCATTATTGGTATATCTGAATTTCTATGCATGAATTGAAAATTATCAAGATACTCGAATTGCATTATGATGGGTAAATGAACTAAACTAAACACTGCTAGCTCAATGGAGCTAACGTGACAACAATGATGGAAGTAAGATATGGTGTCATTACTGATGTGCTTTTGTTTCAGAAATTTTACTCCACCTCTCGAGAACAGCGAAAGCAATGGTTCCGTCGATCTTTTAATAGATGGCGATATTGCACAATTATGACATCTGTCAGTTTTGAAATTGTCGCAGATTTTTCGAATTTAGAGTTGAATAATCCCACTGTTACATATTTCACGCGTACCTAAAATGCCATTTTATTCCCATTTTATTTCCACTCGTTCCAGCAGCAATAGCAGCATCACCATCTAACGGGAAAATGTAGAATCAACGTCTCGCTCTTTGTGGCGTAGAGAAATCATAGTAGGCGGTCGAGTGATTTTTTTGAACTTTTCAATACGTACTAATGGCCGAATACGCGCACCATATCTTACTTCCATCATTGTGACAACTAAAGGTAGGATTTCCTAGCGACGACCAGGGTTCGCGGCTCACCACGACGTCCAGCAGTAACGACTGGCAGCGGTGATTTCATGATTTGCTTGAAGCGTCTAGCGTCCGCGTTTTGGTAGTTGTGAGACCATGTGAGACATATACCTGCCAAGGCAAGATTGTTTTTCGTTCAGAGTTGACTGCGTTTTAAACAAAAATTGCTGGTAGTCAGGATGAATAGAAATATTTCATTAGCGTTAATGTCATTAGAAGAAGAGGATGATGATGACATGATTTTTTTATTATCGTTGCGCGGAGAGACAAGTGAACTGTTTGGATCTCGAAATAACTATCCAAAATCTTGAAACACTTACCACTCTTGGAAAAAACTGTGGCAATTTGGTTACACACATTTTCCCGAATTTGATGATCTTTAAAATCATTGTTTGCCTGGTCCCAGATACATGCAAATTCACGAACTTGATCGATTAATAATTCATCGTCGCCAGGGGTAAATTTTTGAGGCATTTTCTAATTATAATATTCAACCACTCTGCTTTGAATTTAGACGTATGGAGTCTACGTTTGCGTCATATTTTTGAGCGACATATTTTTGAGCCAGTCGAGACGCAGCTGCTGACGGCTGGACGTTGGGACGTCGAGTCGCGCCGCTTCTAGGAAAACGGTTGTATACAATTGCATTATACGTGTCTTTAACTGCCAGACGTAGCGGCGGGCCGCGAACGCTGCAGGTCGCTAGGAAATCCCACCTCAAGGAATGGACATCAAGTAGGCAATTATCCCGCTGTGCTTTAAACGTTCATGGATAGAAGAAAGTTAAAAAACATTTTTTTTAGGTAATCATGCCCCACACATTTCTCAAAAAAAAAAAACCTTTCGCTCACCATTATCCCCAGCGACCAAACGTCCACCTCCGGCCCGTACGGCAGCCGAGATATCACCTCGGGCGACATCCAGTACGGCGTGCCGACCAGCGACTTGCGCTTGGGCAGCTCCTGAGACACCTGCGCGCAGAAGCCGAAGTCGGACAGCTTCACTCTACCGTCGAGCGCCAGCAGGATCGAGTCCGATTTGATGTCACGATGGATGACGCCTTGCGAGTGCAGGTAGGCGAGTGCTTTGAGGCACTGCTTGCACACCGTCGCTATTTGCTCCTCGTCCATGCGAGCGTGCGTCACGATGTCGGTGAGGGCGCCACCTTCCAGGAATTCCATCACGACCTATCACCAATATCGGAATATAACATCGACTTTCGACTGTATTGACTTCGATATTCTATTCAATAAATTAATACGCTATGGAATCAGCGATACACAGTTAAATTGGTTCAAAAGTTACATGACCGGACGCACACACACTTTGAAGCTGAAGGATCAAAATACAAATGAATATATACGGTCCTCGGCGCTGGAGGTGTCCATATTCATCATCTACATCAACGATTTCTTATCAATTGCCGATCAAGATCAAACTATCATTAACTATGCAGATGTTACTATATTGTTACTTACCTCAACTAACGCTTAATGGTAATTCACTCATGGTTAACATAGAACATTGGTTCTTGAATTAAAAATTGATTATAAATCCTGATGAAACTAAAGCAGTATTTTTTAAAACAATACGTGGGCCTGGAACCCCAGACAATCATTCTTAATCAACATAAAATACAATTTTCCACAGAAATCAAATGTTTGGGTGTGTTTCTTGATGAAACCTTGAGTTTCTCCTCTCACATCAATTTCCTCTATAAGGAACTTAACCGGTCTTGTTTTGGCCTCAGAATACTGTGGAATAACACAAATATCAACATTGTTGAAAGCTTTTACTATGCAAGCTTTTATTCAAGGGCACGTTATGGCATCATTCTCTGGGAAGGAAGCAGTGAAGCCTTGAATATTTTAACAATTCAAAAGCGAGCTATTCGTATAATCAAAAAGTTGAGTTATGACACTTCTTGTAAAACTCACTTGCGCTCCTCAAATTTACTTACTATTCCAGCATTGTACATATATGAGTGTATCAAATTGGTGTTCAAAAATTGGACATATTATGATTTCCTACAATTCAACATAACTCCTAACTATAGTACTAGAAGCATCTCAAATTACAATATTCCATATCATAGGTTACCCTGTTCTGAGAAAGGGGCTAAAATTCTTTAATCATTTACCCACACATATAAAACTGAAACAAAAAATTTCCAACTAGTGAAGAAGCCCATACTTGACTTCTTATGCAATCTGGAACCCTATTATATTGATGATTATTTTGAGCAGTGCCTGGATAGTGCAGCAGATTCAGAATACTTAAATTTTGCATCCTCATTATGATATAATCTTTTATTATGTATCCCTTTTTTGTCCTATTTCTGAATGATGACTGTGACTAGCTTGTGTATATTACCAATGTATTTATTATATGTTTGTAATATGTAATTCAAGTGCAATAAATTATTATTATTAAAAATAAGGCGAAAAAACTGAAAATGTGGGTTCATGCAAGCAACATTTAAAACCTAAATACATTTTAAACTCAAACCAATAATATAAAACTATAATGTAATGTGCTCATGCAAGAAACTAGAAGATTGAAACTTAAATTGAAACTCAGAAATATGGCCAACATTCAACCAAGATATCAATTTCTTCCATAATTCACGACAGAGCATGCGTAAAATAATAACTAGCCGCACTGGAAAAAGATTAAACAGCTGATGAAAGGTTATTGCATGAGCACCCATATATTTTTAATGCAAAATTCGTTTAAATCTTAAATTCATTATAATTTAGTTGATGTTGCATACATCCACCTTAAGTCTCAAGTATTATCACTTAACATTTGAATACAGCATAAGGATTAAACAGCAGCGTCACATGTATCCGCGGTACATGCATTCGAGTAAGTGTATTTCAGCTGACCTTGAACCACTGCTTTGCTAGTTGGATGGTGGCTAGCGCGTAGCTCGTTCAACTTGAATGGCTCTGGATCCCAACAACACGGCACGGGATGTCCTGCGCGTACTTAGGTATTTCAACGGAGTGACGCAGCTGTCTAATCCTTATGCTGTGATTTGAAGCTAATTACTCATGACAGATGGTACACGGGAATATCATTGGTGATAAAATCATTTTGAGACTTATGATTTCTCATTCAAGATACAACAAGATGGACAACTTCTAACTTAAGAACAATGAACTCAATATAAACAACTGGAAGGGAGACGGTCGTTCTCTCGAATAGAACAAAGTGTGTCAGGGACAGCTGCAAACAAAGATAGCTTGTTTTACGGTAACCTGTCTCTTTCCTACTCGTGTTCTTTAATGGTGGATTGGTGTTTACGTTTCATTTTATCTAATAATTGAAGTACTTTAGATTTTTTTCTCTCATCTAAACAGGCAAGAATGTGAAGAAATAAGTTCATTGTCTTTGGTTATGGAAATATCTATTCATTTGGCGTATTTTGTTTTATCAAAATGACTGAATTTGTCTGGTGTGAACACTGTGAACTGATTGTTGAGAAAGTTTGTGATTTCATATTGATAAACAATGGTGATTTATTGTGTCGCCTTTGGATGCAAGGACGAGCAAGACAAAAGGAAATTGTCATTCCATGGGTAAGTTGAATGTTGTTCAGATATTTGGAAAATATAGTTCTTGAAATGATAATCAGTTAGGTATACAATGTTCCCAGTCTCAGAATATGTTCAAAAACTATACCTATATTATTTGTCAAATTAAATACTTTCATGACTTTTCCATTAACATATTGAGTAATATTATTTGTTGCAGTTTTCCATTGAAAAGACCATTCTTGAATCATGGATTATGGTAGTTTGAAGAGAGAATTGGGCTTTATCTAAAACCAGCAAACTTTGTGGAGAGCATTTCCTGCCAACTGATTATTTAGACATACAGACATACCAGGTACTGCTAGGTTATTGAAACCAGATGCTGTACCCAGTATATTTTTATTTTCGAAGCATTTGTTACCAAAAAATGATTATCTTCGCAGGAAAATAAGAAAACTCATAGGTAACGTAGAAAACTGAAAAAAGTGATTTTTCTGAACTGAAAATTTTCTAGGAATACTATGAATAGTAAGTGAATTGGGCGTGATTTTCAACCTATTTTGGCTCCTAATATCATTTTCCGAAAATTGGGGTAGTTCCATGGCTGTTGGCGAGCAGTGTATATCACTGAAGATGACCCAACTTAGTCATAGAGTGCATTTTTGATATATCTCTTGCTCCAGCAAGGCTCCTAATATCATTTTCCGAAAATTGGGGTGGTTCCATGGTTGTTGGCGAGCAGTGTATATCACTGAAGATGACCCCACTTAGTCATAGAGTGCATTTTTGATATATCTCTTGCTCCAGCAAATTTCAGGATCCTTACCCAACGATTACGTAAGATACAGGGGTGTTTCCATTTGAAGTGGGTCACACTGTATAGGTAAAGAAAGCTAATTTGAAAATTTTTCATCGTTATATGGAAATATACCGAAGCAATTTACCAACCACGTGATGAATACCTCCATATTCTTACACAAAAACACTTACCATTTTGTAAAGAGATAACTTTCACAAACTCAAATGAAAATACAATCACCAAACCGAACATGAATTTTTATTTTCAACTTTTAAATAATTCGAGTTCCATTTTCATATCACTTGAATCGACCTTACACTATGGAATCTACAACGAGACTGCTACTGATTGATATGATTTATCACTCTAATGATTAATTTGTTGCGTCATCCTTTCAACCGATTATTTCCCGAAGATGACTAATTCCGATATTGATAGTAGGTATACGGGTTGGGGTGATTGTAATTACAATAACAGTACATGTTTACAAAATTAACACAGCGCATGTGCACACCACGAAGATATGCAAAGTAGTACATCGTGATACAAGTAATATCAAAAATGAATCTGCTATTTTCGGTTCGATCCAAGGTTCGATCATATTATTTTGGATAATTATATTTTCAGAAATATCGAGAGAACCATCACAATTGAAACATAATATCCTGAATTATACAGGAATGCCTATTTCGAGTTATTTATACGCCGGGTGGTGAAGTAGTCCGCGGACGGTAACGTGCTACTTTACGCCCGGTCGTGCATGAAAATTATTATGTAAAAACTTTGATATTGACTAATCAATACTCACATGCTATTGTTTAATTATCCATAGCACACTTTCATGAACATATTTCAATAGGAGGGGTATTCAAAAAGTATTTTCATGTAAAATCTCAATTATTGTGAATTGAATGTATGATTGATATATCACTGGAAAGCTAATGAACAGAACGAACAGAATGTTGAAATATACAATGAAAAGAATACGAAAATTGTGACGTCATGTTCTCACGGGAGGATTCCTTTGGGAGTTTATTTAGGGAAATCTAGTAGGAATGAAAAATTCAAAAACATTCTCTGTGCCTTTTCTTGTCTTGATGGACGCCGTGAATTTTTCGAGAAATTGGTATTCTTGTCTATTATCAAAGTAACATTCTTCTTTATCATTCTGTACATACCCAGAGTTCATCATTGACCAAGTAGCTGTCGAACATCTCCACGATGTTCGGATGGTGGTAGTCCCTCATGATGACCACTTCGTTGAACAACAATTCTCTTCGTTGTTGCTTCCTCAGATCCATTTTTTTGACGGCCACTTGCCGGCCAGTGGAGCGATCATGAGCGATACAAACTGTGCCGGTCGAACCCTCGCCGATCTTGACGAATCTCTCCAGATTTTCTCTGGGATCTTTGGAAGAGACGACCATCTGAAGGGCCGCCCTGAACTGGAGTAAATCAAATCAAATCAAAGTTTATTCATTCCATAATATTACCTAAGCATAAATGCTTGTAGTGTATATTTCTGTACAGGAAAAGTAATGTTATTAGCTTTTTTTTTGGATTGTCAGGAGAGATGCAAACTGAAGGGCGTATAGAGATTCGAGAAAAAAAAATTGTTTCTTAATAATGATTGGCGAGAAAATGATAAATGAGTAAAAGAGGATTTTTTTATAAGTAGATTTTTTTGATTTCGTATTTGAAGGATTTGGGTTTATTCATTATTTATATTTGAAGTGGTAGTTTGTAAAAATAATTTGGGTCCTACATACGAGAGGCAGCATTGGGAGTGAGTTTTCCTAAATATCAAGTGATTGTTTCGTGGTAAATCGGGTTGGAATAGTTCTGTTGTGATTTACAATTGGTTTTGTTATTTAATGCATATATAACAAGCATTGGTACATTATGTAGTTTTTCAATATTGGAGGTAAATACGAGCGAATTGAATTTTCTGATCAAAATTAATGCTGGGTTTATAGATTCAACTAATCGGAAGCATGAACTAACAATGGGCAAGACCACTGAGGGATGAAATCCGCCCAAACCTCTTTCAATCGATGATTCATGTAATGTACAGGGTGGGCTGATTGGACACTTTTAAAGGGAAAGTTCTATTCCCGCACTAGATAGAAAAAAAACTGCATTGTGAAAAAATAGCTATTTTTGAAGGGTCAGTTTTGCACAATAATTTTACAAAATAATTTTTATCGTGGTAACTGTGACAGATACCTATCAGGAAAGAGTATAAAAAATCTTATGAGAATTCCAGATATGACATAATATACGGGGTGTTTAATTTGGCGTAACAAAGTAGCTACCACTTTCTGATATTAGCGGCAACACTGCATTGATGAAAATATTTCAGACAAATAGCTGTCATTCTGCTCTCCAGATATTTCAGATTTTTCCATATACCGTGAAACACCTTTTATAGCTACAAGTTTCAAGTGAATGGTACTAATGGTAGACCAGTTATTCACCCATAAAGACCACCACAAAATCAAAACAACACTATGTATGCTTTTTTGGTCTCTTGGAGCGCACGAAAGGAAATCCTATAATGTTCGTGGAAAATCGTGCGTACCTAGGGAGGATTGTGAAAGGAGGTAGGTGTTGGCATTTTTTTCAACTTTTTGAGGTTATAAGTTCTTGAGAATAATTCCATTGGCCAAAAAATTCCATAGCTTCGCAGTTTTATAGACAAACGAGTTTTGGTACAGTGTTAGATATATTTCAAGGTTAACGATGAAAGGATGTGCTGGACTGGGATCGTCGAGTTCATCTGACTGGTATTGCTAGTGATGGAATTATAACAGAGATTTCTGAGGTACATTTGCCGTGGAAGTATCCAATTCTGGTCATTTCTTTGAAGGCTCATAGCATATGAACCACCTGGTATATTTTTTTGATATTTGGTAGACGTGTTTTCCCACTGCTACCCTAGCGACATGTATATCCGTCAGAAAAAAAATTCAGGCCCGGACTAACAAAAATTCAACATATTATTGGGTCCTCGAAAAAACACCCTGTATGTTTGAATTTACAAAATCTGCTTACATATCTGAAGAGAGCACAAAATGTTGAATGGATTTGTGTACTTTTTATGTTTCTGCATGCTATTTTACTACTGAATTTCTGACGCTGCAATCTGCAATGAAGAATTCGTGAATTTCAGTAGAGCTATTTTCAGTTTTTCATATCGAATTAAGAAAATTTTGCAATTTTTCACAACTCATTTTATTCCATTTAATAGTCGTTGTCTGCATTTTAAGCTTCGGCCGAGGGGTATAAGGTCCTGTAAATTTTTTTCACCATTATAGTTCTGTGGAATTGAAATGTGGACCTATGAATCTATGAAAGCATCTCTTTTCAATTCTGATCAAAATCTAGTCACCATGACAGCATATGACAAATCGTTATTGATAAATAGTTACTAGATTCCAGTGCCATTCCTGTGAATATCGCATCAGAACAGTGAATTCGAGTTAATTATAACAGAGGCGGCTATGTCTTTATTGACTAGTAGTTTATAATATGATGAAAACAACAAACACACTTCACGCCTTCAAAAGAAGTAAATAATGTTAGGTTATAAAGCTAGTGGTGAAAAAACAATGGTAGCAATTGTCGTTGATTTAATTATTTTTCATTGAGGCCCTGACATATTCCAACCCTACTACCTTCTACAGGTTTCCGTTGGTTTCAAACATTACCTTGGAAATCAATTTTGGAAAGCTACTAAAGGCAACTTTTTTTTTTCTAAAATTAGTATTGTTGCCAAAGCCTTACTTGTTCGTGTGTGAGTCGTTGTTCATGATGCTTCGTTGAGGCTGCCTGAGCCTGCGCCTGAGCCACCATACCAGGAGGCCCATGCATTGGTAGATGGGGCTGCATTCCATTTTTGATTTGGTTCTGATTTTGATCAGGTCTCGGAGGATAGCCTGCATGCTGTAAGCTTTGGTGTGACCCGTGACTGGAGTGTGAATGAGCCCCTAATGTACAATTCAGTGTCACCATTATGAATTATATGAGAATCATTCATTGAACAATTCAGGAAAAATAGAGCCTAATCGTTTTAGTTTGAAAACGTTGACGAATATTGAAAACGACGTTCATTGAGGAGTAATGATGATTTTTGTTACTGGAGGTATTACCTGTTTTGGAATGTGAACCTCATTTTTTTTTTCTTAGGAGGGTGAGATTTTGTATATGTTCAGAAAATTTCGAAATTCGACCGACAGTGCTTGGCCTTCAAGTGTTCAGTTCTTGAGATATAAGGGTGTGGAAGTTAAGAAATATAAATAGTTTTATCGCAATAATTATATGGTTTAATCTTCAAATGGGTAATTTTTTACCAGAAATTCATTCCGAACATTCAATTCAGTAGTGCGCTACGGGGGTTGTGGTAGCTTTTCCACCGATATTTTCTACGCCACTGTTGTTCGAGATATTTGTCCCAAAATAGAAGTTTGCATTCATTTTCAGTAGAGAATTACAAAAATTAATTTTTCCTGTCTGCATGAAATACCTATGTTCAGCTACAGAATGATATCTAAAAAATATCTTATCTACTGACCACCAGAAAAACTACTATGCAATCGCCTATTTTGGGTCGAATATCTCGAAAACTGTCGATTTTAGCTCATTTGAAGATGAAATATGGGAGGAAAAGTTACCACAGCCCCCTGTTGGGCACAACTGAATAAAATATACGGAATGACATTCTGGTCGAAAAATGACCTGTACAAAGATGAAACCATACACCGAATTTGAATGTAAAATATTCAATCATTCTAAAGTTATTGCGAAAAATCTTTATTTATTTCTCAACTTCCACACCTTGTATTTTGAGTACTGAACACTTAAGACCCTGTCTCCGTAATTATGAAATCAGGAGGGCTATCACCTGTGAAGCGTTGTCGGTCGAATTTCGAAACATCCTGTATAATAGCATAGATAGGTTACTGAAGTGGTATTGAATTTTTCACATTATACAATTACACTGCTTGTTGTTACATACCTCAAATTATTTTCCATACCAATCAAATTATGAGCTAAAGTTGAAAATGAATTCCTGATTCGAAAATACGGTGCTATTCTGCCACCGATATGATGACGTCAGTCTTAAAAAATTTTACGCTAGCCTCATCAGAAGTCAGCCAAACTCGGTTAACACGTTGCCAACCCGCGCAAGTAATAGTTGAGTTGTTTGGAAATTGTCTGTAAACGATTCCATGAGGATGTGTTTTTATGTCGGAACGCATTCGAGACAGTGACGGCAACTCAGAGGAGGCAAGGGAGACTGAGCCTCCTCAAGAATTTCCATACATCGAAAAATTCTATATACTTGTACAAAAAATTACCCGAAATAGCTAACTTACGTTCGTTTTATCGGTTTTATTTCCTGATATCAAGGAAGGAATTGAGAAACTAGTAGCAATGCTTTTACTTGAAAGTATTCATGATAGAATATGGATTTGCGACCGGCAGCAACCAACTGAAATCAGCCTCTGACCAATGAAATTCGACAGAATCGCGATTCGCAAGGGAGCACGTGTGACTGAGATGTTTATATGTATATGGTGTTTGCACAGATGTGCTTTTGTTTTGCCCAAACTATAATCAGAATTTCATTAAACACTATCAAAAATGAATTGATTGTTGTTATTTGGTCCGATCGCCATTAAAAATATGACGATATCAGCGCCTCTTACGGATTTTCAATGAACAAGAACCTTATGTGTCGTCGGTTTTTTTCGTAGAATTTCACATTCACACTTCCAATTCAGCCTCCCCTGTTGAAAAGAGCACGAGCCGCCACTGAATCGAGTCTGCTATTGCATGGCGTGCAGTACTGGAATATTTGCATTCTAACTCCATTTCTGAGGCTATATTCCACTGACTCTGCTGAAAATTTGTGTTCCAAAATATGACATCAAAAATACAGTGCTGTAATTCAGAACAAGTTTTCATCAGTAATCAGAAGCAGTTGATCAGCTGGTGAAATTTGTCAGTTGTCACTTCTGTAGTTTCTCGTTTATCTGGACAATTATTGTAATAAGGGGCATTGATATCATTAATTTATTAGTAGTCTGCTCACAAGTATCTATCACTTTCAGTGTTTTTTTTATTTCGCAATTAAAAATCAGCAGATTTAGTACTGTCAGTTGAATTCGGAATATAGCCCAAGACAGCACGCCACTGCTTAACTGAAACGTCTGACCTTGAATTGATTTGATTCATTTCTTGACGTTGTGACGCACGTGCAAAGAAATATTATACAGACTATATCATACGAAATATCCCTAGTAGCATTCACTAGTCGATAATTGAACAAAATGCACATTTTCCTCCCATGGAAGAATAAATCGGAGACGTATCATTGCAATTTATAAGTACATCAGCGAAACCTAGCCACGTGATATGTTAACAAACATTTGGTAAATATCCCTTGGTAACTCGGCAGCTGCGCTCTGCACTGTCTAATCACAATGTACATGGTGATTGAAACTTCTCGCCCTTGGCTTATAATTAACAGGATAAGGGAAACTGCAATTGCAAATCTGGCAGAGGGGATTTGAATATGGCTTTGTGTAAGGTATATTTTTACAAATTCAAAGGTATTCAACATCTTTCAAAATGGCGGAAATGGTCTCAAAGAATCATTTTTCCATAATCTGCCAGAATATATACTTTTAAACAACTTTTATCCAAAAAAGTTATTTTCAATGTTCATTTTGTTAAAAGCTATGGGATTCTAAAGTTGGCATAATTAAGTAAATCTCAACTGACCTCGACATAATAAAAACCAAGTCGGCCGGGTTTTAGTTTTAATCAGTTTCAATGTATTTCAAAATGTATCCCAATTCATATTGTTTATGAAACAATTTTCTTCCCAGCCGACTTGATTTTTATCACAGTTGAGATTTATTTGTTAATGTCAACTTTACAGTCCCATAGCTATCAACCAAATGAAGATAGAAAAAAACTTTCGGACGAAAGTTGTTTAAAACATATTCTTTCAGAATATATGAAGAGCATTCCAAAATATTTGTCGATTTTTTTTACTCTATACAAAGTCCCTAGTTCCATTTCCATTTTATTGTGAAACATTCAATGTATTCAGAATTTCAAAGGCTGGAGGACTTTGGTCGATGGTCGAATGGAGATTCAGAAAAAAAAAAGAAACTGATCTTCTTTAATTGATTACATTCGGAAGTTCTGATTGACTGTAATTGGAATTTGAAAATATTGATGAGATCATTGAAATCTATACTCATGAAAGCCATGAAGAAACTGATTATTTGAGATTGCAGGGCTCTTAGTATTTCATCTCCAACAAAGTATGATGCAGTTGATTTATTATACCTACCACAGGAAGTTATATTTATTTTTCTCTTGTGGGAGTGAATTGACAGCTTAATTTCATAAAATGAGGGAACATACATTAGGTAAGTCAATACATGAGTAAATAAATGAATTTTTTTAGGCTCTCTGATATGCATCCTCCATTAACCTACACAGTATCAATAATTTGCCTTACCTAAGTGGGATAGTCCCATTGGATGGGGCCCTGTGGAAGCCACTGAACCAGAAGGGGATATTTGAGGATGTTCTCGTTGTGGGTAGCCAATATATGGTTCTGGTAGGTTGCCATTTACATGAGAGTTGGGAACCTCATGGTTGCTAAGCGATCTTTCAGCTGGAGAGCTGTCTCTTACTTGTGGTTTACCTTAATTCAATCATTTCAGGTTTATTTACCATTAAAAAAAAGCATTTGAAGCAATATACATAAAAATATTTTCACTTTTGAAAATGAATTAAAACATTTCCAATATAATTCTCTGTAAAATTTGTGGTACTGCGATAATAATAAATATTCCGGATTTTATCATGACCTTTGTTTTTTCAACGAACACCTTGTATATTCCTACACATTCCAATTATACAGGCCAGAACACGTTTAAAGGTTATGTAATTTGTATTATTTTTCAACAATAGAAATCAAGATTTTTTTCATTGCACTTCATGGATGAATGTGATTTGTCTAAGGGTATTCACCATGAATTCATCCAAATGGAAGGGGTAGCACATAGTATGAGTGCCAGGGAAAAATTTTGGTTTCAGGAGAAAATTAACATGACTGCAAGGAAACTCATGTAACTCAATAGTTGTAAATTTAAATAAACACGATTTGTTTCTGCACCATAATACAAAGTATGTACTTTATTTATCCTGATTATTCATTATCATGGACCTATAACTATAAAGAAAAGTGGACTGTCAATTTGGGCATCTTCTATTCTGCTGCCAAGCAGCTTTCAGGAAAGGGGAGAGAGGCGAGGTGATTGATTGTGATATTTCCCGTTCCACCAGTGGTGCAACTTCCATTACTTGAAAATATTCAAGATACAAGGACCATATTTTTTTTTCAAGATTTCCCCACCTACATATGATGAGAATCATTAGCTATTGATTCATTTCATTTCCATTATCAAGATTGCAAACATTTAGAGTTGAAAATGAGGAAACTGCTAAATGAATAATGGGAAATTATAAGAGATAGGAAGATAATTGAATTCACATTTGCGCATGCCGCAAAGAAAATTTTTAAATTCCGAGTATTTCCGGAGATAAACGAAAAATCAGAAATTTTTAATTTATTTTCATTGTTTTCGGCGTTATCTGTTGAAGAATATCAAAATTGAGAGCACAATTGCTGCAATGCCACTTTTTCCTGCTATACGATGACATATTCAGATTCACTATACGACGTTTCCTCGCCAACATCATTAAGTTTATATTTTCTCATGGGCGCCATATTGGATTTTCATTAATAAAGATAGCATGTTGAATCTCAATGTTATCGTTAATATAAAGATTTCAACTTTCAGAAAACCTTTTTAATTTATTTCGTATCGAATCTGACCATTACAATTATCTATTTCTGACTCAATGACTTTTCCTGTCAAAATCCCCTAATACTATGTGTTCAGAATTAACTAAAATATAAATTAGCCGTGACATTCTCCCCGCGGTGAAGGAACTTCTTTTTCTTCACTACTTATTTCTAAACGGCATAATTTCTTGACTGGCCTCCGGAAAGTAGAGGTACTAGTTTTCACTTCGGCAACTCTTATTCTTCCATCGGGCCCAGGAAATACTTTTTCTATCTTTCCCATTGTCCAAGCATTTCTTCGTATGTTGTCATCTGCTATTAATACAATATCTCCAACTCTGATCTCTTGGTTATCATCTGTCCACTTAGATCGTTTATTTAGCCGTGGTAAATACTCTTTGACCCATCGACGCCAAAATATATCTGTTAACATCTGGGATTTCTTCCACTGTTTACGCAATGATGAGTTTGATTCGCTGATACATACTGGTCCGTTCTGATTCCCGTATCCAATCAAGAAATGATTGGGAGTCAACGCCTCAGGATCAGCAGCATCAACAGAAACATAGGTTAGTGGACGTGAATTTACTATGTTTTCTGCCTCTGCTAATAGTGTCAGAAGAGTTTCATCTCTGAGAGATTGGTTATATAAAGCAACTCCAATGGTCTTCTTAACAGAACCAATCAGCCGCTCCCAGACGCCGGCCATGTGTGGCGCTGCAGGTGGTAAAAAATGAAAGTCAATACCTTCTGAAGCCATTGTATCATGCAAAGCAGACGTATTCATTTCTGCTAGACATTTTTTCAACTCTTCAGCGGCTCCACGGAGATTTGTTCCATTATCGCTGAAGATCTTTGATGGTTTTCCTCGTCGTGCTATCATCCTCCTGATGGCCATGATAGCGGAATCGGTGGTTAAAGTATGCGCAACCTCTAGATGAATAGCCCGAACTGCCATGCAAGTGAACAGAACACCCCATCTCTTCTCTCGACGACGGCCAACGCAAACTTGCAGGGGTCCAAAATAATCCATACCCACATTCACGAAGGCTCGAACATCTGGAGTCAACCGTACTTCTGGTAGTTGTCCCATTTTTGGCACCACAGGTTTCGCTTTCGATTTTCTGCATCTAAGACAACTGGAGAATGTTGACTTCACTGCAGCTCTCCCATCGATGATCCAAAATCGTTGCCTCACGTCGTTCAGAATTGTTTCTATACCTTGGTGTCGGAATTTCTCATGATAGTATTGCAACATGAGCTTCGTGTATGGATGCTTTGGACTTAGAATATATGGTTTCTTTGTTCGGTATTCCATATGAGTAGCCAAATTCAGTCTACCATCTACAATTAACAACCCATCTTCATCAAGCGCGGGACACAATTGTTTAAGACGACTTCTCCGGTCTAAAGCTGTATCTTTTTTCAGGGTACAGATATCATCCCAGAAGCTTTGCTGTTGAGATTTTCCTATCCAATATTTTTCGGCTGCATTTATTTCTTGCACTGTCAGATCTTTTGGGATGTGAATATCTTCTTTTCTTACTTTCCTTAATAACTTGTTTATGTATCTTTTTACCCAAGAAGTAGTTCGAATCAAGCGGATCCATTTAGAAAATCTTTCAATCTTGAATACATCCTCTTCTTTTTCAGTAGATACTGCTACAAATTCTGCTTTCATCTCTGAAGAATACTCTGGACACTTTGTACATGTAATCTCATTTTCTGAAGGCCAATATTCTTCAGAATTTCTCAGAAATTGTGGACCATGAAACCAGTTTTGCAATATAGTTTCGATTGAATCATTTAATTTTATTCTAGTGGCATAATCTGCAACATTTTCATTCGTGGGTACCCACCGCCATTCTTCAACCGATGTCGATTCTTGAATTTCACCTATTCGATGTGCCACAAATTGTTTGAAATCTCTTCCATCGCTTCGTATCCACTGTATGACACATTTGGAGTCTGACCAGAAGTATTTTTGACAAATTTCTATCTCCAATTCATCACATATTGTGCGCGATAATCTGCTGGCCATCACTGCAGCTTGAAGTTCAAGCCTGGGAATCGACAAAGGTTTCAGTGGGGCTACCCTAGTCTTTGCTGATATCATAGCTACATCGATGAAACCTTCCCCGACAATGCGAAGATAGGTTACACTGGAGAACGCTTTTTCACTGCTATCACAGAATGTATGTAATTCGAGTCTTTTTGCGGTAGGAATATTAGTGGAATAACATCTCGGAATTTTAACTTTTTCAATTTCCTTAAGATCATCAAGCCATTTCAACCATCTTTCTTCGATACTTCCGGGAACAGGGTCATCCCAGCTTATACCTAACCGCCATACATCTTGCATGAGTATTTTCGCCCTAACTGTGAAGCAAGCTAGCAGGCCTAGAGGGTCATAAACCGACATAATATTTTTCAATATTTGTCTTTTTGTGAAACTCTTAGACGAGTCAGCAGCTTTCAAGACATTAGCATTTATTTTGAATAAAAGTTCATCCGTGGTTGACTGCCACCATATCCCAAGAACTCTTTCAGGTGAACAAGCATCGTTTTCGAATGTTTTCATCATCAACATGTCTTCAGACAGAGTGTTTCTCACCAAATTCGAATTTGATATCCAATTGACTACCTCGAAGCCTCCAAGCTTATGAACATTAAAAACATCCTGTATCATTTGAAGTGCTTCTTCTGAATCTAAAGAATCCAAATAATCATCCACATAAAATTTCTCAGTTATGGCTTTCAAAACTTTTTCTGAAGGAGCTTCTTGTTTGGCGTTCAAATTCTTGATGAATTGTGCGCAAACCGGGGAACATGCTGCACCAAACGTCATCACCTGCATCTCAAAAACTTCTGGTGGTATTTCGAAGTTCAATCCTCTCCACAGAAAACGCTGAGCACATCGATCGACTTCACGGATTTTTACCTGGTGAAACATCTCGCGTATGTCACCACATATGCCATATCTTCGCTGCCTGAACTTCCATAAAAACGAAGTGAGGGACTGAAGTAAGTCTGGCCCGGACATTAGGTTGTCATTCAAGCTCTCCCCGTTAGATTTAGCTGAAGCATCGAAAACCAATCGGATTTTTCCAGGCTTGTTATCATTCACAGTGGCAAAATGAGGTAAATACCAGGTTCTTGATGTTTCAATATTCGCTTCATCAGATGGAACTTTCTTCGCGTATCCTTTTTCTAGGTAGCTATCAATCTTTTTACAATACTCCAAGGCGAACTTGTCATTTTTCCGGAACTTTTTTTCTAAACAACTCAGTCTTTGTAGAGCGACGGTCTTACTCTCTGGAAGTGTAACATTTTCGGATTTCCAAAGAAGACCTATTTCAAATCGATCACCTACTTTTCTAGCTGTTTCATTCATAAGTTCCATAGCTCGTGCATTTTCTTTACCCAAAACATTTGAAACCATGGCTACACCAAATGCTTCCGTCGAAAAGGAATTCCTCATCAATTCTTCCAGACGTTCATTATCACAAATATGGAAGATCTGTGCATGCATGCTACCTGAACCAGGACTAAGACCATGCAATGACCAACCTAGTTTGCATTTGGTAGCAACAGGTAAGTTATCTGGACCATTTCGAAACTGTCTGGGTAATATCAAATTAATATTGTCTTGACCAATCAATATCATTGGTCTTTCATTGGCAAAACTTTCAATTGGAAGGTCGTTCAAGTACTCATAAGCTATCCAATCTTCCATATTTACAGTTTGTTCTGGGAGAGAAAGCCCCTTCACGGTCCTGACATTTTCCAAAGAATATCTTCTGGAATTTTCTCTCACTCCAGATATCTTGAAATTCAATCTTTCAGATTTGTCCATGTTTGAGGTTATACCATTAGTCCACTGGATACAAAGTGGCTCGTTCTCTCCACGCAATCCTATTTCCCTAACAATACTTTCCTCAACTAATGTGACAGTTGATGCTTCATCGCATAACGCTAGTACATTCAGTACACCATTTGGCCCAAATATGGAAACCGGAATCATTCTAAGCAGAATTTTCGCATTTGCGTGTCTAATTGAACATACTGTCTCGTTCTGACTATTGTTGCTACATGTTGATGGGTTCGATTGTTGACTATCAGCCGAGGAAATATTCGTTTTGTGCAACAAAGGGTGATGGAAATACTTGCATCCATCTTTTCCACATTCCTGTCGCTTCTTGCATCTGAATTTCTGATGACCTTTCTGTAGACATGAAAAACACAATTTTTTATCGGTGATAGTTTTCCACCTACTATCAACGTCATCATCGTTCATTTTTGGACAGGAACCTTCTACATGTTTATTCTCACAATAGAAGCAGATTTGTTTTCTTGATATTTCTTTTGTTGCCAATACCCTCTCATTTTTCTGTTGCCAAGCCGAACTTCTCGAATTATATTTATTTTCAGTAATGTTAGGGATAGGTTAGAAAAATCTTCTAAAGTCGCTTTGCCTTCTTTTTTCACCAGAAGCTCGCCCCATTTCAGCTTGATTATCTCGGGTAATTTTCCAACCAGGTCTTTCAGCAGCTGAGGGTTGTTGAGATGATCCAAAGACACTAAAGCTTTCATGGTAGATATGAGATTTCTCACCTCATGTGATAAATGAATCAGCTTATCAGCATTGGTATCTCTAAAATATGGAATAGCTTTGATTCGTGAGATCATTACCTCAATGACTTGTTCCGTTCTCCCAAAGCGCATTTTCAGGGTGTCCATGATCAAATCTACGTTATTAGAGGTGAGCAGCATGCCGGCTACCGAAGTCTTCGCATCCCCCCTCAAACATTTTTGTAGTTTGATTAGTATTTCATCATTACTATATTGACACATTTTCACTATCTGCTGATATCTTTGAAGGAACAAAGGCCAATTCTCTGGATTTCCATCAAAAACTGGAAAATCCTTGTCCACTACATTCCTTGCTAACAACGTGTCGTTTCTAGCTGGAGAAACCGATTTCAAGACACTGGAAAGAGTTTCACACAGCAGTTGAATGTCTGTCGGATCCTTATTTTTCTTCGGATTGTCTGGTTCATGAATGCTTTCTTCTTTTCTAGGATCACCTACTTCAATGTTGTTTACCCATTGAGCAACAGAGGTTACAGAATGAACGTAATTCCGTTGGTCTTCTTTACTACAGCATTCACTATCTTCAATGTCCACTGCTTCCATCTCAGCTTCTTTCAATTGATGCTCCATTTCAAGAATCTTCATCTTATTTTCAATTTCCCTCCGTTGCTTTTCTAATTCTTGCCTTTCCTTTTCTGTCTGAATTGCAAGACGTTTTTTAGATAAACAAGGAGATGCTTGTGATCTAGATCTAGATTTGCATGATGCACTTTTCATAGAACGTTGTTCAGAACGCCCCGTATCATCATGACTTTTTCTGATAGACATGTCACTATTATTGACGTTTTTCGAAATACCTGGTGAATTCAAACTTTGAGTTCCATTCTGTAGAGTCTGAGAATCACTACTCTGAGGAGCACCATTGAGTTCTGTCATGGATGAAGGATGTATATCGTGTCCTTCTCCAAACCCTCTGGGCCACAGAAAGTCGCAGGACAATTTTCTGTTCACACCTGCATTACTCCTAACACACCTTTTCTCCTTCCTGGAATCTTGTCCATCCATAGCTGTTTCAAGTTTTTCTCGAAGGACCACAATGTTATCGTTAATATAAAGATTTCAACTTTCAGAAAACCTTTTTAATTTATTTCGTATCGAATCTGACCATTACAATTATCTATTTCTGACTCAATGACTTTTCCTGTCAAAATCCCCTAATACTATGTGTTCAGAATTAACTAAAATATAAATTAGCCGTGACACTCAAAATATAGTATGGTAGGGAAAAAGTGGCAATTCAAATGTATTCTCAACTTTGACATTCTTCAACAAATAACGCCAGAAAAAATATAAATGATTTACCAAAATTTCTGCTTTTTTCGTATATCTCTGGTAATACTCGGAATCAAATTTTTTTCTCGACGGCATATTTTCAATCACATAATTGCGCAACTTTGTTGTGAAGCATCTGATTTTCACTTTATAAAAAATAAAATGTAGGTTATAAGAACTACATCAATAAATCTATCCAACTAGCAATATGTAGGTACCCTTCCTATAATAATTCTCAAATAACATTCAAGTTCAACTAATATTGACTTAACGGGCATTTTACCCTGCGCTCATGTCAAAATTCTTATGTAATTACTTACAAATGAGAAGAGAGTTCTGGGAGAAAATAAGCACTCTTTCTGCATACAACACAATTACACATCATCAAGACACTTATGGTTTAACGATTGTTAACAAAAATTCACTGATTCACTTGAATATCACAAAATTCAAGAGCATTCACTGAGATATTCAGGTTTTATGTTATCAAGGTTGGCAACAGTGATGTCTATCACAAGGGTGAGTTGGCAACACTGGCTCAGAAATGTACATGTCAAGTCAGTCATGGTTGATCTTAAAATAAAGAAGTATCATTCTCCAATCAAAGTATTCTCATTAACTAAATATTGTATATAAAATTACCGAGAAATACAATACAATACAATACATGGTGTCAAGTGTGAAAATTACCTAGAGTGTACTGTCTTATCAAATAACAGGCACAAACAAAGTAAACAGAAGAAACAAATGTAAACTCTTCTGCAGCATCCATGTTATGTTCCTTCCCAAATAGCACTGTGATTGGTTGACGCTGCCAGTGATGCCAAGCTTCTTGAAAGCATTAGGTTATCAGAATTTCTTTCTATTAAACCAATTAATAATAAAACAGCTGATTCTCCTATTGCAACCTGTTAAACTTGGAAGGAAGTTTCTGATCAAAAGTTTTTATTAACTTACCCTCTAAAATGCACTATTTTCGAGATATAGGGTGTTGAAATTTGAAAAAAAAAAAGGTTTTTTTGTGAATATCTATGGACCCGTTTATCTCACAGAAAACAGCTTTCATAAGCATTTTCTACTCATAATAATCTCTGTTTTGTGCAGAACTTATTTATTTGTGAGTCATAATTGATGAAGATTTTGAATAGGTAGTGAGTGTTTCTTCCTCAACTTCTTCACCACTGGAAAAAGTACAGTTTTGAGCCGCTCATTTCAAGGGCCAATGTTTGCTACACAAGAAAGATACTCTTGGTCAGAAACTCTGAAGTTGACCGTTTTTGGGAAACAATCAACTTTTATGTTGGAAATCATGGTGAATTAAAAATAACAATTCTTCCAAAAATTGACCAACCCAGAACATCAACAAATTATATTGTTGAGGAACATTGGATTTTAAGCCTATGAAGGTCAATATCCAAAAGATATATTCCACATATATTTTTTATACTTTCAATTTATTGAAAACAATATAAAATAAAAGCAAACATCTATGCATCATAAACACATACTATACACCCTAAAGACAAAAGTAGATGTGGGTGATTAACTTGAGTACCTGTTAATAATTAGTTGGATTTACAAAAAGCCAAACATACAAATGATAACTGTCAATTGAAATATTATTGACAACAATATACAGCACCACCGCACAGCATATCCACCCTACTTGCTTAGCAATATAGTCCACCCAAACTTCTTTCAATTACAGTACCTTGTGACATATGCCTAAGGGTAAGAATAATTCAAGACCCAGGTTTTTTAATACAACTTCACCCAAATGGCCCCCACCCTTTGGTTCATGATTTTTATTCAGTGACCTCATTTCCCTGTAGTGGAAGGTGGAATTTGGGATGTTCTTATACTGCTGAGTGCACTGAGTGTGAACAAATAAGTCAGATAAAACACATTGTGTGCTCCTGGTCTAGAACATCCCTCTACATTCTACATTTATCTACATATACTAAAATAGTATTGAATATGATATCTCAAGGAAATGTATAGTGACATTAGGGGTGTTGTCATAGAGAAAATAAAATAAATTGCCTTAATACTCACTTATACTAGGATCTCTCCTCATTGAAGGATACTGCATGATTTGTTCTTCTGGGACTGAAGGTGGTACATTGGCATTATTTCTCTCTCTCCTCAATCTTGGAGGACTGGAAGATCTCAGAGAATTGGAACGTGCCACATTTGACACCTTTGGAAGAACAATACCATTAGGTTTAACTTGAGGGGCACTGAGCTTATTCTCATTTTTATGGTCACCCCTGACAATTGTTTTGAGGTCAAGAATTTCTGTTGGAGTGATCTCTGATGGGTCAACTAGAGGTAGAGGCCTGTTGGTGGATTTGAGTATTTGGTTGTTGCCCACAATAGAAGCCCATTGAAGTGGAAGCCCCACATATTTCCCTTCCCTTTTGTCAAACCCAGTGTGTACCCTATGTTCAAAGTTGATGGGTTGGGAAATCTGAGGTTTCTTCTTTTTCTTGCTGAACATAGTTTCAATCCCTCTGGTCCAGGTTATGAGAGGGGTCGAAAACTAACTGGGAAGTAGGTTGTTTAGTCTTGTTTCAAGATTTATTTGTCATATGTGATACATAACATGTAGGATACTGGGAATCAACACATCCCAACACATTTTTAAATTACGTTCAGGTACATTCAAGAATTATGCTCACACACATTCACATTCACATTCACAAGAAAACCTATGAATGTAGAATTTATTAAGTGTAAAGTATAAACAAAAACAAGAAAACAAGCAACAAAAATAATCTTCAAGTTCAAACAATGCAAACTCTGGCGGCGAATGTTTGAGACACTTCTGGAATTCGGTCACTGTCAGTGTCAGTAGTTGTCACCACCTGTCACTGAGGTCACTGACAACAGTGACAGTGACAAGCAGTGCTGGCAAAACAACATTACACCACCTGTGTTGCCAACATACTGTCACACTGAATTAGAGTCAACACTGGAATGCTTACGTCAGCTCGCTCCACTGACTCCAGTCGTAGTCAAGGCTATTCAACTCTAGTCGTAGTATGATCCTCGGTATGACGGTGTGGTATGATCCAAGTAGAGTCCCTTGATGGAAATTGACGTCAAAGTCATCTTCCATCTCTCACTCTAAAGTGTTTGAGAAACAGTTATATAGTTCCATCCTTATTCAATTCGGGAGATTTTTGACATTTGTTGTTCTTCAGCTTATACGAGGCGGCTTATACATGCTTTGCTTATATTGAGGTCATTGGCGTATCATACGTAATTCCATCTGGAATTCCCGATTCAATACTATACCAAGATATAGTTGAATTCTCTAGTTTTAGAGTTTACTCCTCCAGCATGATCTTTGCGAGGTAGGGAACATATAGTTTGTACTAAAAGCTGTTTGATATGCATATGCTTTTTCCGTCTCCCTTAAATAAAAACTCATTTACCAAATAATTTATTGATGAAAGTAACAAAGATGTATACAGTATAACCGTTGATTGATATATGTATAACTTATGGGCACGTTATATTCACTCTTGCATCCTACATGTTTTCAAATTGTGGTAGACTAATAATTATATGAACTTATGTTGAAAGTGCAGTTTTGAGTAGTGGTTATGAAGTGAGATCTGGAACCAATGCAGTTTTCGTGATATTCTCATAAAAAATCTTCAGTGACCCACAACTTGGTTCGAGAGATTGCTGCACATATACCCTTCAGCGATATTCGTAGACTTCCAAGCAAGAATGTCTCCTCCAGATTTTGCAAGTAAACTTGCCGAGGTTCTTCTGAAACTACGAGGTTCTTCTGAAACTATTATGACATCAAGCAGTTTTGAAAATTCGGACCGATGACCGTATGACCGATGACAGAGGACCGATGACAGATGTCAGTTGATGACCGGTGACAGATGACGTGTGACAGTTGACGTATGAATTGGATGAAAAATTAATACATATACAGTGTGTTCGGGACGAATGAATATCAGAAAAAACATATACAGAGCGATGACAGATGACATATGACCGATGACAGATGGCAGCTGATGACTGGTGACTGATGACAGATGACATGTAACAGTTGACGTATGAATTGGATGAAAAATGAATACATATACAGTGTGTTCGGGACGAATGAATATAAGATAAAACATATACAGAGCGACCTACAAAATCAGAGGCAGATCAAATATCTTGAACCAAATGAAATATCATTATTTATCACAGAGTGACATGAAGAATCAGAGCCAGATCAAAATCTTCTTGATGGAAATTGAAAAAATACTCAGTGCGTTTGAGCTGAATGAATATTAGTAATATCCGAGGGGTGGCTCACTATGGTAATATGGTGTACATCGTGCCAGTAATATATTACCAGTACAGTATTATACTTCTAGTATTACCGGTATTACTTGTATTATCAAGTAATATTTGGTAATATTTGGTAATATTTGGTAATATTTCATATGACAGGTATTATTGGTAATATCGGCTAGTAATATTGGAATATTGGTAATATCTGCTTGTAATATAGTAATATAAGAAATATCTTCCAATAATATGGTAATATTAGTAATATCTGTCAATAATATGGTAATATTGGTATTATTTCATAGTAATATAGTAATATTGGTGATATTCCAAGTAATATTAGTTTCTCATCAAGTAATGCATTGGTAGTATTTCTAGTAATATTATGAAAATGAGTATTATACGTTCTAATGTTCTATGAGTCAATTATACCAGATGTCGCAATGAAAAATAAGCGTTCGCCACCTAGCGAGATTTTTGAAAGCTGTCTGTCAGGTGCAGCAACATGTTATTTTCCATCGTGAGTATCTAGACCTCGATCTATACCTACCTGATCTCTATGAATAGAATGAGTATCAAAATACCATTTCTTTATTCTAAATTGATGGTTCAGTATGTATTTGCATGAACTCAGTGTTTGAAGACTAATGGTTGAGTAATCGGCGACTATAGGAACACCCAAACAACCACAAAGGTATTGAGGAATGTCGAACTATATTTCAGCAACTAATTCGCCAAATTGAGTAGACCTAAATAGTTATTTGCTTTACATGAGAGAAAATCACAAGATTTAAAGCTACCCAGGCAGTTAAAGTGCACCTTCTATGCCTGTTAAGTGACATTAAAAAGCCATGTTTAATGTCATGTGGAGAAAATAACTCTGTATTTTTATGTTGGCAATACCATGCAATACTGAGTATTATTCGAAATATGTCTCTATCAGCTAAAATTTAATACTTTCTAGATCTATACTAAAGAATAGCAACTCATCTGAACTCAAGGGATATTACTATAAACTAGGTAATATCTAATAATACCAATAATACTCAAGATATTACTAAATATTACTGATTTCTCAAAATATTACCAAATATTTCCAAGTAATGCCAAATATTACCAAATACTACCGAATATTACCGAATATTCCCAAATATTCCCAAATATTACCAATTATTACCAAATATTATCAAATATTACCAAATATTACCGAATATTACTGAATACTACCAAATATTACTAAATATTACCAAATATTACCCAATATTACCAAATATTACCAAATATTTCCGAATATTACCAAATAATACGAAATATTCGGGAATGTTACAAAATATTACCAATATCACCTTCCAAATAATGTTTAGGAACCTGATAAACCACATTAATTATTACTAGTTCATACAGATAACCACCCTTATCACTATCATTAATTCAACTATTATCAGTAGGAATATCTATACATATTTCGACAATTAAACTGAGGTCGAATTTTAAATCGATTTCGATTTACTCATAGATCCAATTATAAATTTCTATTCGGTTCTCACACTTGGTTAGCCCCATCTTTCAGTTACTCTCCAGAGCAATATGACACTATACACACAAATTTCTGGTGAACATTGCAGCGGTGTCATTATGATTCCGTTTGAGCAATTTTGTTTTTTTGGACCTTGTTCTAAATACGGTTCTATATCGTGATAATTTTTCGAAATTCTTTCTTGGACCATGAATCATCATGCTCGAAAGAAAAAATTATGAAATTATTCGTTTATTTCGTTTATCAGTTTAGTTGTCGAAATATATAGACATTTCTGCTGATAATAGTTGAATTGATGATAGTGGTGAGTGAGGTTACCTGTATACATTATTAATTAACGAGGTAATTAATGTCATTCATCAGGTACCCATCATTATTTAGAAGGTAATATTGGTGGTATTTCGTGATATCTGCGGTAATATCTGGTAATATTTGGTAATATTAGGTAATATTTGGTAATATTTTGTAATATTTGGTAATATTTGGTAATATTTGGTAATATTTGGTAATATTTGGTAATATTTGATAATATTTTGTGGAATTTGGTCTTATTTGGTAATATTTGGTAATATTTCACATAATCAGTAATATTTAGTAATATCTTGAGTATTATTGGTATTATGGTAATATCCCCTAAATATTACTGATATTACCTGATTTGGTAATATGGTGTACAAAATTTAGGCAAGTGAGCCACCCCTCGGTAATATCATATACAGATCGAGCTGAATTCCAGAGGCAGATCAAATATCTTGTACCAAATGGAATATTATAATTTATTACAGGGTGAGCTGAAAAACCAGCGGCAGATTAAAATCTAATCGGTGAATATTTAAAAATACACAGTGTGTTTGAGACGAATGGATATTAGGAAAAATCTCGGGAAAAATACATTCACAGAGAGGCCTACAAAACCAACCCAGAATGCAATATTGCAGTCCAACATTGAAATCACTTTCCCAAATTTATTTCTCTGTGAAGTTATTCCGTAAGTTTCAAAAATCGATTCAGCAATATGAAACCATAATGCATGCTCATGTTTCCAGAGAGTTGGTGGGTTAATTGATTTAATTGATTCTTGCTTTTTCTTGGAATGCCCAGTTGATGTGTTTTCTGAGGAGATGATGTCATGAGGCATGATATTCTTTGAAAATGTTGAACTTTCACGATGTTTTTCCAAAATATTGAGTCTTGCTTCCAACGAATCAATTTTTTTTTTATTTTCATCAAATTTGACGATCAGAATTTCGCACAATTCTTCAAGTCTATCGATCTTCTTTGTAAAAATAGTATTCGAAACATCATTTGGTATGATTCTTGATGAAATCTCTGAAAGAATCAACATTCATAACTAGAACGCGATATATTTTTGTAATTCATCAGTTCATCAACTATCTCAATGAAGACGAGACAGGCAGATAAACAACAATTTTCTCTGCAATGAAGATTACTGTATATACCTAACCCACCATGCGTCTACCTCCTTTATAAACGCCGAGTTGATACTCTCCCCTCGTAAGGGTACCTGTCGTGTTTCCATAGAGACATAAAGGTGAATATCTGTCTTTTCTGTTCTCTTGAGAATCTGGAAAAGATATCAATATATCGCCTTCCGTACGAATATAATGATCCGAATTCTGTAAAGTATACTCTGGTCAGTTCTCTTTGCGGATCATCTGTTCAGTCCTTATTTACTGGATGGTTTTCTCCGATTGAGTGGCAAGTGTCAAACACGACTGCTGCTTGGATCTGCAAATAAACATGACATTTGAATCGAAGTACATTTGAATCAGAAAATATCATTAGAGGAAATACATATAGATGTTGAATCTGAGACATACCTGAATAATAATTTCAACGCCCGCAACTAGATTGCTACATATCCGCTTTCTTTCCGTATAGTGGTTTTTCCAGTAGGCATCTT